ATTTTGAAATAGTGCTAACAACGTCATCGATGACTTTTCTAGTGATGCCTGGAAATAATAGCTTCTATAAAGTTTTTAACGTTATTTGCTCATTCGTGTATGATGGTGCGTTTCTTATAATTTACAGAAATTAAATTATTGAAGGAAAAGTATTGATCTGGTGTTTGTGTTGGTGGTGTTGGTGTAAAAGTACATGAGCCTTGGAACTGAAAACCACCGAGAATTCATCAGCATACTGATTTATGCAAGATTTCAGCAATTCTCCAATAGTTCTTATCTCGAGTAGCAAATAAATGAATCTTTGTTTTTTCTTTTGTAGATGGGATGGCAACGCGACTTGAAGTGACCCCCCTTCTGTGGAGCGATGGATCCCGGGCCATGGTACGCTTCGTATAACCGGCTGGCAAGCGTGCAGGCGGCGGGATCGGGAGGCGGCAGCGAGCTGCACCACCACCTAGCCGCCGCGGCGACGACCACGGCCCCCGGAGCGCCGCCCACCACAACCGCCCAGCTGCTCCCGGGCGGCTTTCTCTCCCCGCCGCCCGTCGGATATGAGTCCGTCTTCACGCCGCTCTTCCACCATGCCGCCACAGCCGTCGGGGGCGGCGCCAAACCGGCCGCGCACTATGTCACTCAGGTAATCAATTCAAACACTAAGAAGCTGTTAAAAATTCATAACAAGTGATTTTTCACTGCCATTGACTTATTTGTATCAGTTGAGAGATTTGAGACCTCTAATTTTCCTTGTGGTATAGCTTCAAACTGAGAAAACTTATGAAAGAAATAAAACTACAGGTTACACAAATGTAAATTTGTCTTGAATTTGAGCAGGTCACGCAGCAGCGTGCGCAGGCACTCGCGCAGGCCGCTGCAGGCGGCGGCAGCGGTAAGCAGTCGTCTTCCGAAGGCGGCGAGTTCCATCCGCAGCAGGCGTTCTTTGAGCAAGGCGCCGCGAATGCCGCTTGGCAGCAGAACAGCCCGTTCGGCATTCTGCCGCACGAGAGTGTCGTAGCAGCGTCTGCAACGTCGAGCAAGAACTATGAAAACTTCAACGCTCACTTCGCTGCTGCGCAGAACCTCAATAACCACCTCAATGCGCAGAAGACGGCCTCTGCAAGTAGGGCGCAGAGCCCCCAAGTCTCGACTGCAGCATCATCTACTAAGGCCAACTCCACCACTTTCTATCAGGTACGTTGTGATATTAATAATAATAATAGCATTTATTACCCAAAGGTTAAAAACCATTTACAGGGTTAACTAAGTATGTTAAAAAAGTTTGAAAAAGATCTACAATTGCAAACTATAAAGAGCCATAAACTCTCAAAGCTTCACTTACTTTCAATCTAATATGGTTGGAAAAAGACAACTTTTGATCAAAATATACACCAAGATCTTTAATGAGCTACTTCGTGATAGTGAAATGGTATCTACTCGATAATTGTACTCGATGACTGACATTTTTCTACTATAAGACCCTCCTTTACATTTGGATGCATGAGATATAGTTTGTTTTCTTCACACCAAGTCTGTATATTTTCTAACTGTCGTTGCAATTTATTACAGTCATCAACTGTTTCGACAGGTAAATATATTTTCAAATCATCTACAAAAAATAACTTATTACAAAGGACATAATTACTGAGGTCATTAATAAATAATAAGAACAGAAGTGGAGACCCCTGAGGTACTCCAGATGACGGATTGTATTAAAAAGAATCATAGCCGTTATAAGACATAAACTGTTCGCGTTGAAGTAAGTAGGATTTAATGAAAAGTACTGCTGAATTATGGAAACCAAATTCGTCCAGTTTTTGTAGAAGGATCATGTGATCAAGTCGATCAAATGTTTTAGCAAAATCAGTATATATCACATCAACTCGACTACAATTATCTAAGACATCACTAACATTTTGGGTCAATACAATTAAATTTGTTATGGTGGATCTGTTTGACATAAATTCATGTTGTTGTGTAGATATGTTATTGTTTTCATTAATGAAGTCAAAACATAAATGAGAAAGAAAAAGAGAGTTATTTTTTATTTCAATAGAAAGATATATGCAGTATATAATGTTAAACAAATTTCCATGAAAAAAAAAAACATCCAAAAAGTTTTTGCGCATGCATATCGCCACTTAAATAAAAATATTACGTACAACATACAAACAAAACCAACACACTAAGAAATATGATGTTGGAAAAAAATTGTCTAGTATAGAAAACTGTGAGTATTTTTTGACATGAAACATTTAGTGCAGAGGAACTCTCGCTCCAAATCATTGTACCATATGCAATATGTTAATGAACCATACTTTAGTAAGCAGTTTTAAGAACCTTGAGTGAGACAGGACTCCTCATTGTCACATACTCAATTCAGTTTACTATTTACCTACTTTATATTCAAGCACTTTTACATCAGTTTTATCTTCTGGTAGTTCATTTATTTTCATGAAAGATATGTTGTGAGTTTTATTTTTATTTAAGCAGAGTATGTTGGCTTTAAACTATTCCTCACTTTTAGACATCACGTCTTCTGATTTTACACTAATTTCTTAAGTTGTATTGTCTTATACCAGAAAAGTAGTAAATTATGAACAAGGATGTCCCAGTATAGACTCTTGAGGTACACCATGCCATTGTTATTTTTTTATTCCTCTACAAAGGTTTTAGCCCAAGATATGAAATGTCTGAATTATCATGGCTTAGTATTTGTTGTTCCATTTTGTAAGTACAATATATCTAAAATTAATTCTTAAATTCTTTCTAGGACTGAGAAACTACTAAAGATAAATATACTCTTTTAAATGCTTCCATCAAGAATCCTGAATAATTGCAAATAATCAAACCTAACAATGTTGAGGATTTAATATCAATTTTCTCAGTAAGATCCATAATTTGTTCATTGAAAATCATTCCCAGATCTTTTACAGAAGACTTGTATTCCAAATAAACATATAAAAGATTGAAATATATAATTTTCTAAAATTGGTGACGAAATGCCAATTTAATAGATCTTAATGTTGATAAACACTCCAAATACAAATGCCTACTTTATATCCCATCGTAAATTAGCGGTATGATTTGGTAGCTTTTTGATGTATATTCCGATACTATTTTTTTGTGTTTGTGTTCTGCCAGCTTAATATTGAATTAACAGAACGTATACAATATCTCTGTTGAATGAAAGACCTAAAAAATCATAGAGTTAACACCGGTAAATCTTTTTGTTTCAATTGTCAATATTTTGACAGAAGCTACTGGTATACGAAATCATAAAATTATTTAAACTTTGCAAGTACTGCAAAGTAATGTCTCACGAATCCAAATGTAAGGTTTTTTTTCTTGAGAATGTGACAAATAACAACAATGATATGAAAGTAATTTTAGAAATGAATTATTATTATAAGAGATCAAAAACTTCCACATGTGATAACGAATTTCACTTACTAGGATTGTATAAATATTTTTGAATTTATATCAGGTGCCGTCTAGTGTTCCTCCGGAGAATAGCCCCAACAGCAGCAGCAAAACTTTCCCATCGTCCAACTCCTCAAACATCCAACAATCATGCATAGTCTCCTCGCCGTCAACAACTGTTTCGAAAGAGTACAGGGTACCCCAACCGCCCGGACGCTCCGCTTACTTGGGCTCTCCAAACCCCTCGCGGGGCTCTATCGAAAAGTCTTTTGCCTCGACCTCCGGCAAGCAGCAGCAGCAACAAGCACCCTCGCAGCAGATCCAGACTAAGGCGCAGACGAAGATCTACTCAGAGCTCAGCAGCCAGCAGGAGAGGCAACGAGCTGCCAACGAAGACAATCAGCAGCAGCAGCAGAGCCAATCGTCGCCCATTAGTTTTTCCATCATGGATGCCCCCGGTAGGCTGAATTACTCGGGCAGCAATTCTTCAGGAAAGAGGCCGCCGCAGTTCCAACACAACTACAGGCACTACCAGCAACAACAGCAAGCGGGGGCCTCGAATTCAGAGGAGTTTCAAAGGCCGAAGAGCGGGTCTGATTACAACGGTTCCAATGGGCCGGACTGCGGCGTTGTCGTTCCGAGAAGGCCTAGTCCCCTTCAAGCACATTCCCAGGCGTCTCCTTTGGGTAAGTAAGATTTTGTTTTTGGTTACGAGAGTGAGGTGAGTATTGTTAATATTCATCTAGCATCTATGTGTTAAAATTTAATGAGTTGATTTTAAAATGAAGTTTCAGCATTAAAATTAATATCTGAATCCGTTCGAAAAGAACATATTAATAGGTGATAAGTTTTTCAAACGAATGTAAGAACCCTCCTGACTGACGAACTTCTTCAAAAAATGTAAGATCTCTTCATCAAATCAGAAAGTTTGTTAATAGTTTATTTTTTGACTGTTACTTCAATAGTTATAGGAAAGTCTATAGAAAGGTAATCAGGGCTGCAAAAAACTTGTACTATAGTAACAGAATCACGGAAGCTGACAACAAAGCTAAGGAGAGCTGGTCAATAACCAATGAACTCTGAGGAAAAAATATGTATACAAACACAACAGATACATCCTTGAATACGGATCTTCTAAACAGCTATTTCTGCTCCGTCGCAACATTCTGCTCAGTCAAAACATTGTTGTATTTATTTATTAAGTAGGCAAGCCTAATATACAAAAAAATGTACAATAATCAAAATGAGGTTGTATTAGGCTTTTAAAAATAGTCAACCTAGCATACATAGACACCTTTTTACATATACGAGAGAGAAAAAACAGTTTTTTAGATATTTTTTTTCAAATAAAATCAGCATAGTACCTACTCACGATCCCCTAGAATATCTCAGTGATATCTATGTAGACAATACCTTTTCATTACACCACATCAGTATAAATGAATTGAAAGAAGTGATAGGCAACATAAAAAATAAGAAAGCATCTGGCTTTGATGAAATTTCTATTAAAATTCTTGAAAGGCTTCCTGAGACTGCGCTCAATATACTTGTTGTACTGATTAACAAATCCTTCGAGCAAGGAACATTTCTTTCAATTCTCAAAACCTCAGTTGTCATTCCTCTCCATAAAGATGGTAACAATGAAGATCCAGCAAACTTTAGGCCTATATCGTTCATCCCAATTTTATCAAAAATAATTGAAAAACTGGTAAAAAAAAGAATAATGGAATTTTTGACCAGTAATAGGATATTGAGTACACATCAGTATGGCTTTCAGAATTTTTAGAGTACAAGTGAAGCTATATCAAAAGTATTGCAATTGGTGTATAATGAAGTCAACAGCAGGGAAGCCACTACAGCAGTGCTTTGTGACTTATCCAAAGCTTTTGACTGTGTCAATCACAGCATATTGCTTCGGAAACTCATGAGATATGGTTTTAGGGACAACAGTCATATTTGGATTAGTTCGTACCTTTCTGACAGAAAACAATTTGTATGAATGTCATCTAACTCGGACGTGGGAGAGATAAATTGTGGAGTACCTCAAGGCTCTGTGTTAGGTCCTATACTGTTTCTGTTATACATTAATGATTTGACCAACATATCGATTACAGGAAGCTTTATCTTATTTGCTGACGACACCACATTAGTGTGGCATGACAAGAACAAAAACAGATTGCATAACAAAATGTGCCAAGACATGAAAAAAGTGAAGAATTGGTTTGACTCGAATCTTCTATCATTGACTAGCATAACAAATATATTAGCATTCAAGTGTAATATTCCTGTTATCCCCCTCCCTAGACAACAACACAATAAAAAATAACTCCACTTTGAAATTTTTGGAAATTTATTTAGATGAACATTCAAAATTCTCTCAGCATATTGCACACATCAACAAAAAATAGGCATCAGGATGTTTCGCACTGAAAAACATCTCAAAGAAACTGGGGTTTGCTGCAGCCAAAGTAGTGTACTATGCCTTGATAGACTCTCATCTAAGGTATGGTATACCCTTTTGGGATGTTTGCAGTAAACAATTTATGCAGTCGGTTTTTGTCTTACAGAAAAGGGCTATCAGGTACTTATGTAAAGCGAAATGGCGGGATTCATGTAAACCCCTTTATCGATAACATAGAATCCTTAGGGTTATTTCAATATATATATTGGAAATCGTGTCAATTATACATAAAAATAGGGAGAACTATGAATCTACAGCTACACCCACATACCACACAAGGCAGTCAAATGAACTGAGCCTACCAATTCCAAAAACATGTTTGGTTCAAAACTCGTTGATATATAATGGAATCAGAATATACAATAAACTTCCCAATGAAATCAAAGAGGCTCCTTTCATCATATTTAGAAAGGAATGTACAAAACTATCAAGTGATAAAGCTTATTATGACCTATAAGAATATTTTGACGATGCCCTGTAATTCAGAATGTGATTGAACTGTGTGTGAAACATATATTTTTATTTGTTGTCCAAGTTCTTGTCAAGTAACCTCTGCTTATGTATGTATATATCTAATATATAAAAATGGATGTTGGTTGGTAAGTGATAAACTTCTACATTGCTCAACTGATAGTGATGAAACTCGACATGTATTAGTAATTTTTCATAGAGAAGGTTTGTAGGCTATCAATCTTCTGTAACTCGCCACTAGATAGCGCTGTAGAACAATTTTTTTTTAAAGCACTGTTCTATAACGCTGTGCACGCCTAAGTTTGTTGATTCTGTCAAAATATTGGAACAGCAGCGATACAGCAACATAGTACTAGTAGTTTATATTTATATGTTTATATGTAGTTTATATGTTTATAGTGATATTTATCTATGACATTGTGTTTGTAACAAGAATTTATTCTTTAACAATAAACATATTATCAATCAATCTTGTAATTGAAAAGTTTTTGATAATTTCTAAAACCGCATGAAGGTGATAATATAATTATCATGTATGATAAATTATCCAGGTTGCGAAACGAGTTTATTTAAATTGAATGTATGTTTCGCAGGCCACGCTCAAAGTCCGGCTTACCCCATGTACCACAGCCCGATGAACTCGATTTCGTCTCCGCAGCAGAGTTCGAGCAATCAGGTGGCGCCTCCGTCGCCCCTCGACGTGTCCGTGCCCCGGCCCAGTTCGCAGACCGGCACCGTCGCCTACCCTTCTGTCATCACGAGAGCCCTGAACCCAGAAAAGACCTTCCCGGAGCGCTACGAGCGCCCCAACCACGCCAACCAGTCCAACCAGAATTGTTGGGACGAGAGGCAGCAGCAACAGCAGGGCCAGCAGCAGCGCAAACAGCAATTCCAGAACGGCCCTCCCTACAATTCGGGGGCCGGCGACATGGGCAGGAACGAATCGGCGGCGCAACAGCGAATAGTGATAGGAGTGGGGGAGAGGCAACAGACTTACTTTGATTCGAGCAGCGGACACCAGGTAACACTTCAAGACTTATCCAGCTGTAGAGGTGACCCTATGAGCATTGTCAAAAATTTACAGCAGCAACAGCAGAGCTGCCAAGTGCAGCAGAACGAAATTAAGGCGGAAGTCAAGCCCCCGCCCATTAAGAGGAGGAAAAGTAACGATAAGCCCCCCGTACCAGAGTTGCACAATTTGCCCAGTGAGTATTTCTAATTTTTGAAAACAAACCTGCTTCTCTGTCGGTGCTTGTGAAGAAAATCACGGAAAATGTGTTGATTTTTTTTTTCATTATAAAAGGTAAATGAGATCTTGCACAGAGAGGAACATTGGTTTAGGAGAAAATTCAAGGAAGCCTCCTACATGCTGTCCAACAACGTATTCAGCCAAGCTAGTGTAGAGATACGCTAGCTTGGCAGAACATATGGAAACCCATCATCAAGCGAAAAATGGCCAACTCCCGCCAAATGGTCATCTCCCACTGAACCAGTGAAGCAGAAAAATGGAAAGTGGGGATAAGTGAAAGTACTCGAACGAGCCATAAATAGTCATCTCTCGGAGGAATCAGTCCAGTCATCACCTGAAGACGACTGTAGATACTAACAATCGAAACGTCGTGAACTAACGTGGCTTGGAATCTCTTAGCTTTTTTTTTTGTATTTCTTTATTTTTGTTCAATCGTTTTAATTTTACTTGTATTTTATTTCACTATTGTTTCATTTCAGGTTATTTTTGCTTAATATTATTGTTATTTTCAGCTATTTATGTTTAATTCTTCTTTTTCAGTTGTTTTGGGGATTTCAAATAATTTTACATATTAGACAATGGAAGTCTGAACTAGTGAAATTCATCATGAAACATTGTCAATAACCTTTAAACAGTAATATTACATCAACAGAGTTTCTATTGAAAGACAAGACCTTGTTAACCCTTAGCTCACATTTCAGTTAATTATGTTCAAGTATAATATATGAACAATGAATTAATTACGTGAAAATGTTTTTCCCACTCAGGGCCGGATTATTATACGAATCAGTCTATTGAAGTGCCAAATGAGTGAGATACTACTGTATATGCAATATGATCAGATATAATGCACAAGAGCAGTTTAAAAGTTTATACTATGGGAGTTCGTCTATTGAACCGTAATTTTTTATTCAACATTTCTGCAATGTTAGTGAAAAATATTATTTACTTTTTGATGTTTTCGTAGTATAGACTCTAACTTGTTGTAGTTGTTTTTAATAGTTTGTGGAAACAGATCAAAGTGATCTCTGTCAAAAATTATACTGAATTGCTTCATATGCGAATAGTACTTTTTTAATAATACTATGTTCAGAATATCATTTCTGTGTAGTTTTTACTATCCTGCACTTCTGTTCAAAAAATTAGGTGAGTTTTAAAACTTTGCGGGCTACGTACATTCGATTAGCGATTTTATGTTGAAACACTCGTCTCAAACATATTTTCACAGTTTCAGATGTTTAGCATGTTTAGTTCGTTAGTTCGAAATGAAATCTCAAAATATTCATCTCTCCCAACTACCTACATTGTAAGTTCTGGTAAATACCTGCCGGAAAGCAACTACATCTCCGCCTAATACCACATTGGATATGCAAGATACCTCACAGAGGTTAGTCTCGCAGATGTTTATCGTTCATCCAGCAGCAGCACCATTTTGAAATTATTTGAGTAGATCACCTACAGACCAGCTTTGAGGTATTACCACTCATTCATTCATTCAATATCCAGCGTGGTATTAGCTGGGTAAGTAGTTGTTTTTCAGCAGGCAGAACCTAAGGTGTAGGTAGTTGGGAGAGATGAATATTTAGAAGTATTCATTTTCTAGTAATTATTTTTAATTCTTTCATAAATGTTAAAATGATTATATTTGTGAATCAATTGTTCATACCCCACGCTGAATTTTTATATTGTCTTTGAAGTTTAATTTATATAGAGCATTAACTGTAGAATTATCATTTGTTGAATATTTAAAAAAATTAAAAAAGGTTGCTTCTCGCCCACTTTGTTTTCCACACAAAAAAGTAATGTGTAGTTGTTGTGTCATCACGAGGTCGGCATTCCTTTATTCCAGGTCGAATCCCCCCACCAGCCCACAGCTCGGGTGCGAATCAACCCCAGCAGAATGGCGCATACTTCGATTTTGATCGATGGAATCTTCCGCCGCCCACTTCCAAAATATTCGCGGCGCAGGGTTTACACCAGCAGCACCAGGGCCTCATGGTGCCGCATCCACACGGCCATCATCCGCCGCCTCCCTTGCCGTACTTTGCTCCTTTCCACCTCCCGCCACACCCGTCAGAGTACCCCTCTTCCGTCGAGCTAACCCCCTTGGCTAACTATGGCGAACAGTCGCCCCAGCCACCGGGGCAGTATCAGCACCAGCAGCAACCGCCGCAGCCCGAGGAACACCCCAAGGTTGTGGTGCCCAACATCGAAGAAGAGCTGAATTTTCTGTCGCAAGGTGGGTGACATTTTTTATTCTATTTTAGAAAAAAAAAGACTATTCATGACATGACAATGAAGAATTTTTTCCTTTCTGTTATTAATATGTCTATCAGACAATTTTTCAAATAAATAAACCTTTATTATCCAAACAGGTACGAAACCTACTTACAGGACAACTTTTTTCAATTCAATTCAAATATGCTTTATTGTCTGAAGAATAAATTCTTATTGACAAAGCCTCATGCGAAATATAAATAACATATACATGAAATCACTAAAAGTAAGTGATAAAATGAACTGAAAAGAGACATGTAAATAATAAACGTTTAGGATATAGGAACATGGCCAATAAAATTAAATAAATCAATTTAAACTAAATTGAAAAAAATCAAATCAATAAAATACCGTAGATATTACTACAGTTAGTCTTTTCAATTAAAATTATCATCGTAGAATTCTGCTAAGCTATAATAAGGTCTCACAGGAAGCAAGTTTTTCAACTCTTTCTTAAGAGCTCGAAGGTCATTTATGGGTCTTATAGCTTGAGGAAGATGATTGAACATTTTGAGACCGTTGTAAATAATGGAATCTTTAACTAGGGTCGAAGAAGGCAGCGGTAATTTGAAGCTGATTCTTTGTCTGGTTTGATACATTGGCGCATCCAAGTTGTTGAACAATACCCTATTTTTGAAGAGAAGGCAGATTGTCTCATAGATAAATAAGGAGACCTCAGTCAGGATTATGTTAGAGGCAAAAAGAGGCCGACAAGAGTCCCCAGGCTTGGCTTTGAATATGCATCGTATTGCACGTTTTTGTATTAGTAATACTGATTGAAGACATGTGGTAGAACACACACCCCGAAAGCAAATATAACGTCTTGTACCGAGTTTTGTACTGAGTTTGAGCAATCCACTAGTAGAGCGAATTTTAAAAAGTGAATGACTTCTAGCTGGCATGTTCATTTTGTAGGCAACATATCTAAGAAATTTATTCTGAACTTTTCATAACTGTGATTGAAGTATGTTGGAGACCAGATACAAGTGCAATACTCAGTCACTGATCTAACCAATGCAAAGTATAGTATTTTAATAGAAAAAATGTTGGTAAAATCTTTTGTTGATCTGCATATGAATCCTAACATTTTCATCGCTTTGTTAGATATGTGTTCATACTGTAAATGAAAGTCCATCTTGTCATCCATCATAACACCCAGATCTCGTATAGATTAGATTGTACACGTTCCAACTTCTTCCCTGCAATACTATAACCAGCTGTATAAAGGTTTAATGACTTTGAAAAGGAAATACTTTTACATTTTGCCACATTGACATCCATATAATTCATCTTACACCAATCAGAAAAAGATTTAAGGTCCGTTTGAATTTTCGCACAATCCTGCAACAAATCAATTGCTCTAAAAAATGTTAGATCATCTGCAAACATCAGTATTTCACAGTCAGTAATTTTTTCTTTGATATCATTTACAAAGATTTGAAGAGAAAAGGTCCCAAGTGACTCCCTTGAGGTACTTCTGAGGTAACAGATATCTCCTGAGAGATAAATCCTTTAATTTTCACAAACTGAGAAACTGTCCTGAATAGTTTCAGGTCATCAGTGTCGTTGAAGTATTTTCAATGTCACTGATATAGAATCAGAAAAGAAGTGGTGCCCAATGAACCCGGAAAAAAATTATGATATATGTGCCTACGCATGTTTCTAATGCCAGTTTCGTTTCAGATACGACCAGATCGAACCACCAAGCACAGCCCGGAGGAGGGCAAAACCACCGGAAGTCCGTGCAATCGGCTACCGCGGCATCACCCCTGGTGAAACCTCCGGAGAAACAGGCCGGTGGCGCCAGCTCGGGTTTCATGAGCAGCTACTTGAAATTCCTGCAAGGGGAGAGGGACACCTCGCCGCCGCCTCCGGTCAGAGGGGGCGGCAGGAAGCAGCCGTGGCCGAAGGTGCCGACGAAGAACATGGATGAAAAACCGCCCGAGAGCAACGGTATGCTGCCGACCCCAGCGCCGCCCCCGCCGGTCGTGTTGCCACCGCCGCCGATACCGACCCCGGTGATGAGGCTGTCGCAGGGCGATCCGCAGGACGACCCGCGGTATTTCCCGCTGCCGAAGGAGAGGAAGCGAAACAGTTTCGACAGCTCCGATGATGGTTTCAGTTCGGACGACGACTTTTTCGGGCACCGAAAACACCCGGCATCGGCTACTGCGGTGGTCAAGACAGAGCCAAAAGATAAAGAAAAAGAGAAGGAGCAACGCGAGAAGGTAGGTCATTCGGAAGAACGAGAACAACAAAGTTTACACTCTCTAATGCATTGTTAAATCATTTTCGGTTTATGTGAATTATTAATTTATAATTGTGAATTGTTAAGGAGAGGGAGAAGAAGAAGGAAAAGGCGAAGGCTGCCAAGGCGGGGGCGGCGGCAGAGAAGAAGAAAATGAAACTCGAGAAGCCGCCGAAGCCGGAGAAGGAGAAAAAACACAAGGAGAAGAAGGAGAAAAGCGGCAAGGAGAAGAACAAAGAGGGCAAGAAGCAGAAGCAGCAGCATGCGGCGGCAGAGAACATGGAATGATCGCTGAGTGAGTGAGAGAAAGAACAGCATTAATGAATGAGAAATTGGGTAGGTGGAATTTGATGAAATAGAGGACAAAAGATGTATTTAAAGTGAAAACCAACCTTACAAGGACCATGTACTCTCTATTTCATATTTTTGTATATAGATGGAGAAGTAAAAAGCCAAAACTTCTGTTTTCCACTATTTACTTTCTTATCAAAAATTACTTGAAATTATACCTTTTTACGTACATTTTATCCAACTGTGATATCTTGTTCCCTTAAAAAGTTAAGAAGTGGAGGGAGACTACTTAGTGGTAGTGAAAGATAGTAGGAAGAATCTCTTCTGAGGTTAATATCAAAGTTGGGGTTGCAACAAAACGCCTTTTGCAGCCTCGCTTATCTTTGAAATTCGAGAGTTGAGTTTTATCGATTTCATAAAGGCCATCTTCATAAGTAAGAAGATTATTCATCCCTTTTACATTCTCAGGCTGCTTTTTTGAGGACATTTGAGATTAGCTATGCAATTGTAGTTGAGCCTGAGGAAATCTATAGAGGACCGAATGCCCATACCTCTAGTTTCAACTAGGCAAGATAATCGAAATAAAAAATATACGATGAAAGAAACAAAATAAAAAATAAACAGAAGTAACTGGTGAAAAATAGTCCTCAGAAACAAGAACAAATCAAGAAATGAACATTTTCAACAAGAAACGAGATTAAAAGACAAAAAAGAAATGAGAGTGACTGGTGAAGGTGTCACAAATTAACAGCCACAAAAAATATAGGCTAATAAATATAAAGATGTACTGAAAATGTTTTTGTTTTTCCATTTTGTATTACCCCTCATTTATATTCCTCGCTTTCCACTATTCTCGAACATCTCGGATAAAAAACTCTAATTCTGTTTCAGGCGGCATGAAGTCCAAGAAGAGCATGAAAAATTTGATATCGGCGGCAGCGCAAGAGGCAGGAATCGGCGATATGTACGCCGATCCACTGCCTCACAAAAAGAAGTCGAACCGAAGCAAACAGAACATTCCACCGACGTTAGAAGACAACATAGCAGCTTCGTTACATAACAGTATTCCTCAGATAAATGACGACGGTCCTTTGAAGGTAAGCATAAACTTTCCTCCATATCTCAAAGTTTCTGGTGAAGCGATAAGGTGCACGACGGTGGGAAGTGCAGATAAAAGATTTTACTTCGAATTTACACTTGTCAGACGTTTCTTTAGTTATGAATGAATTTGCAAACTAAATTGTGCTTTTTTGCGCACGCAGTCCAGTAGGTTAAGAGAGAAACAGCATCAGGTAATTTAGCTGTCGAATTGAATTTTTCGTGATTGCCACGATTGATTTTCGGACCATTTTACAGCCAGGAGAGTTTGTCGCCATCAAGTCGGACCTGAAGCTGGATTGGCCGCCTATTTGGAGGGTGGACGGGAAGACGTTGCTCCAGAAGTACGAACCGTTTGAACAAAACGGTATCACGCTGTACAGAAACATATCTACAGTAAGTTGGGTGGTAAATGAATGAGTGCGGAGCCATTTCTAGATGGTTCATTGGTATTTTTCTCGAATCTATTTTGAAAAACAAGCTTGAGAAATCGTAGGAAATTTTTCAATATAAGAAAGACGTTTTCATGTCAAATTAAAATCAATCAAGATAATGGAATGTTTTTCCATTCTACTGAAGGATGAATTGGGATCAAGAGTTAATAAATCAGAATTTCAAATAACATTTCAAGTTGAAATGGTTGATTTTTGTGGTCCTCAAATTTTTTTTTAATCAGTCACTGCAAATTTGACTTTTCTACAACCAATGAAGAATGGAGAACAGTTTCATTAGATTTAAATAATTTTATTTAGGACAACATCCAAGGATTCTCTATTTATGAAAAATTCAAATGAGTATATGGTAAATAATCTGTCAATAATATGTTATTATGAAAATTTGCTAAATTCCTCATACATTTAAACAATGAATCACATATTTATTCTAAAAAAAAGTTCTCAAATGTGGGCCTATGGCACAGGAACATGACTTGACTTTTGTTGTATTGTGAATCACATCCCTGATTGTCCTTATATTTCTCTAGTATACTTCATGGACGCCGGAAAGTAAAAAGCAATACACTTCAGTGCCAGTAAAATACAGGTCGCAAGGTCAACTGGAGACCATCGTAGAGTTCCTCAAACACGAAATGACTATAATAGATTACGAATACCAGGAACAGTTGATAAAGCAGTTCGAATCCTACCAAGACAACTTTGAGGTGTACATTCAGACGCTCATCTCGCAAGCTCTCGATAGCAACTTCCTGATGGAAATCTTCCAAGAGAAAGGTAAGTCGGACGTATTTCACTACAGTTTCACTCTAATAATAATACAAATCATCTAAAAGAACAATTCGTTCAGGCCAGTCTCANTATAGAATTCATAGTACGCTTCAACGTCATCAAGGAGGTTAGCGCTTCCGACTCGCTGGCGAAGACGTGCGCTGCCTGCTGCCGCATCGGAGTCGCTGTGCGAGTTCTCATGTACGGCCAGCCGTACAACTCGACTACCCTCGAGGGCTGTCAGCCGGATCCTAATGCCATAAATGAAAAGGTGAGTGGCCCCAAGAATTGAAACGTTGAACTTATGCCTGACGTTTATTGATATACCATGTTGAGGCATTATGTATGCATATATTTGAAATTACTAAAGGAATGAAACACAGAAAATGTTTTGAAATCTAAAATAATGTTTTTCCAGTTCAGTATTCAAGTGTCGGTTAAATCAAAGAATATTTACACAATGTTTTAGCTGTTTAATTTCACTTTTGACATCAATTTAACTGTTCAAAATAACAACATTTAAATTGAACAGAACAAAATATCTAATTACTACAAAAAGCCATTTAAATTTTTCAGTTTTCTTTGACAAGCATCTAGAGAAAGCTAAGTACTCTTTATTGGTAGTTTGTCAATAAGGAGTTCAACGCTGTTTGTTTGAATCTATTCGAAAAAAAGCGTCCCGAATCAAAGAACAATTCTTGTCTTTTCCACTTCCATAATACAACTGCTCATACGTCATAGNCTATTGAACCGTAATTTTTATTCAACATTTCTGCAATGTTAGTGAAAAATATTATTTACTTTTTGATGTTTTCGTAGTATAGACTCTAACTTGTTGTAGTTGTTTTTAATAGTTTGTGGAAACAGATCAAAGTGATCTCTGTCAAAAATTATACTGAATTGCTTCATATGCGAATAGTACTTTTTTAATAATACTATGTTCAGAATATCATTTCTTTGTAGTTTTTACTATCCTGCACTTTGTTCGAAAAATTAGGTGAGTTTTAAAACATTGCGGGCTACGTACATTCCATTAGCGATTTTATTTTGAAACATATTTTTACAGTTTCAGATGTTTAGCATATCAAGTTTGTTCGTTCGAAATGAAATCTCAAAATATTCATCTCTCCCAACTACCTACATTATAAGTTCTGGTAAATACCTGCCGGAAAACAGCTACATCTCTGCGTCACTGGATATGCAAGATACCTCACAGAGGTTAGTCTCGCAGATGTTTATCGTTCATCCAGCAGCAGCACCATTTTGAAATTATTTGAGTGGATCACCTACAGACCAGCTTTGAGGTATTACCACTCATTCATTCATTCAATATCCAGCGTGGCATTAGCTGGGTAAGTAGTTGTTTTTCAGCAGGCAGAACCTAAGGTGTAGGTAGTTGGGAGAGATGAATATTTCGAAGTATTCATTTCCTAGTAATTATTTTTATATACAGGAATATATTTCGTGACTCCTGCGCACTAGGAAAAGTTCCAGGTGTGAACGAATCGTTTATTTTTTCACGAAGAGGCTCAATATCCAGCGTGGTATTAGCTGGGTAAGTAGTTGTTTTTCAGCAGGCAGAACCTAAGGTGTAGGTAGTTGGGAGAGATGAATATTTAGAAGTATTCATTTTCTAGTAATTATTTTTATATACAGGAATATATTTTTTGACTCCTGCGCACTAGGAAAAGTTCCAGGTGTGAACGAATTGTTTATTTTTTCACGAAGAGGCTCAGAGATGAGTTCTGCAACAGCTTTTCAGGACGTTTTCTTTTATACCATTTGTGTCCTCGGCAGTTTTTATCGGTGTTTTAGATATCATTTCAAAAACATCTATTTGTGTTACTGGAGTTATGGAAAAGCTAATATGGAAATTTCTCGAGTTCATGTCACTATTTGGTGCTAGAAAATCAGTGATATGATTTGCTTTTTTACTAGATCTGTGATGGGTTCTCCAAAGTTTTTTAATGTAATATCAAAAACAATATAAAAATGAAACTCCAAAAATGTGCAGATAATTTGTCTGGATTTATCAGTGAAATAATTAATACCCCATAAAATCCAGTAATGGTAGAGAATCAACATGGATTTAGTTAGATAACATCTAAAAATATTAACTTATTGCTATTCTTTGAATTTGTGATATTGATGACTTTATTTTGTGGAAATTCATCATCAATTAAATGATATAGATATAGAAATAAAATACTTTGTCTAATTTCCACTTACTTAAAGTATTGATATAAATACGACCAAGGTTTTGGTTTTTACACCATTCTTAAGTATTCTAACACTCATTCTATATTCTCAGAATATATAATGGAATCAGGATATACAATAAACTTCCCAATGAAATCAACTAGACTCCTTTCATCATATTTAGAAAGGAATGTACAAAAGTATTAAGTGATAAAGCCTATTATGACCTACAAGAAAATTTGGACGATGCCCTGTAATTTAGAATGTGATGAAACTGCGATTGAACTATGTGTGAAACATATATTTTTATTCGTTGTCCTAGTTCTTGTCAAGTAACCTGTGCATATGTATGTATATATAGTTTATATTTCATTTCAATCATTTATATTTTATACACTTAAACTTCATGTTTATATTGATATTTATTTATGACATTGTGTTTGTAACAAGAATTTTATTCTTAAACAATAAACATATTNAAGATAAGAGGCGCTGGAGATGTAGAGAAATGAATAATTTTTTTTCTGAACATACCTCCTGAACCCTCTAGAAACAACTAATTTCATATGAACATTGACTTACACAAAATCCCTTTTTTTTTATCAGTTTGTTCTTCAAACATTCGTAAAAAAATTTTGGGAATCTTACAGAAAAAAGGAAGAAAGTAATTTATTTCAAAATAAACTTTTTACGGAGATATGCAGATCGTGCAAATAAATAACTTTCAGACACAACTTGGAAGTAAAAATACGTATGATTAAAACATAATTTGGAAGATTGAAAAACTAATTTATAAAACATTTTTGGCATAAACCATTTACGTAACAAAATAAAATAGATACAAAACTATTGACTCTCCAAGCATTGAACTTGAAAAAACAATACATCTCAGATTCCCAACAAATGATTGGAGTTTGTTCAGCTGTTGTTTATTTGAAAGGTGTCAGATTAACTGAAGCACGTGTTCAAAGTTGAAATTCATGATCCCAAAATGGTATCGAGGTGTCCAATGATATTTCAGATCGCGTTCAAGACTAACGCATATTTTTCTTTTGTTTCAGGATTTCTTGATGTGTAGGATATGTGCAACTCACGTAGAACTCCTGAGCAAAGTGACGCATCAAAAGTATCTTATGTATATAGAATGTGCGAAACGTGTTAGTGAAAAACGGACTACTGATACAACTAAAGATACAACGTGTATATTAAATGAATTGTTGGCCGATGAGAGTTGGCTGAATCAGGTGAGTTTTTTTGTAGGTACATCAGAAATTCTTTCATTTTTCTTTATGAAACATTCCATAATGTGTTTTGTTTTATGAACGGTTTAATTTTCTCCGATTTTTCATACTGAAATTTACTTCTCTGGTTAATATCACGCCGGATATTGAAACACTTTCGTCCCAAAATTATATACTGTGTCGTGCTATTGGGTCTGTTTCTTGTTTGGACAATGATCGAAGTTTTTTTCAAGACTCCTGCCCTACATATCACTATGATGAAGTTTTTGGAAATTCTAATAGATTATCAAATAAAAATACATGCTGCATATAATTTTTTAACCTGAAATAATGAGTTTCACACAAAAGATTCTGAATTTCTACCTTCCTAGTTAGTACCTCGACTGATATTGTTGTAAAGTTACACCTTTGGATTCAAGTTGCATAAAGTTGTCAAGGATTAACCAGTAAAGTAATATTCATCTGGTGATTAGAATTGTTGGTTTTGATGAAATTTTAGTTGTGGCATAATATGAACGTTATTTTGTTTTGTTTCAGTTGTTCGTAGAAGTGCGAACGTCTTGGGCCGAGATAGACAGTATAGAACACAGTTTGAATACGAAAAATTCAGTGCGGTCACAGTGATTATTATAAAATGTTATGAGTTTAATTTCTTTTTTTTTTTAGTTATGACGAATAATTTAAATCAAAATTGTGTACATTCAATGAGAGAGTTTATATGAAATAATATGAAAAATGTAATTAAGATAGATTAGCAATCAATATGCATATATATTGACTAAGTACGTAATCTGTTTTATATATTATGGTGATTACCATGTCATGCTGTGCATTTTTTAATTTCCGTGCTCTGATGTTTTTTTAAAAAGTGATATTGTTATAATTTTGTAAATTTTCAGCATTGGTTATTTATAACGAGCACACACTCATTAATAAAATGATTATCATTTGTAAAATGGGGCTTTCATTTGCGTCGTGGGGAGAAAAATAAATGAAAATCTGGAATGGCAAGAATATACTTTATTGTTCGAGATGTCTTTTAATTGGCGAGATACTTCTTATATATATATACATATAAAAAACGATATAACAGAAAACATCAAAATAGATATTACATTCAATATTTTGTCTATGCAAAAAGTATAAAAAAATTCACATGGTAAATCAGTAAAATCTTTGCTCGGTTGGCGTATCTCAGGTACACACTACAATTTACTCATTCCCAGGATCTGTTTCGACGATAAACACTGGATTCGCTCAAGGAATAAATACACTGTGATCAGAGCCGAAATCAAAATTTTCCTTCGAAACAACTAAATATAAACTTCCCACCGAGCCTGAGAAAAAATTGAAAGGAAAATATCACTCTGGATAATAATATCATTGAATCATTGGTAACTAATCAGGATAAAGGAAAGACTAGAAAGGTTCTGAGTAAAAAAATCTAAACGCGGGGCGACGGGGACGAGATCCCGTACGACACGGACTTTTCTAGTACAACATCGAGCTCATCTAACGGAAGGAGTATCTGCCGAAGGAAAGTCAACAGTCCTCTGTTTCTCAGGAAAGAGTTTTCTTCGTACATTTCTAGAGTAACTTTACACAATGACATCGGCAATAACATTCTATGGAGCAAATGTTCCCTGAAAAATACGTAAATTAAGTTCATTGCATTGATGACTATATTTAGAATATATACGTTATTCTCAACAAGGCAGAAAATTGTTATTTTTCAAGTTATACAAAACCTGTGCAGTAAAAAAATATTACATTGATCACTGAGGTGATTGTTTAACAAAAGCAAAACTCAAAATAAATAAACATGATTTAGCAATTTTCCATCAACCATCTTATAGAGTAATTGCCATACATAATTCCTCCACGCAACCAGCATAAAGTAGCTGCATTCAATAGTATGCTTCACAGACTCTTGAATATTACACTGTCTGAAAGTAATTTTCAGAGAGAGATGAATTTCCTCAAAAAAATCGCCAACATCTGTTACAAGGTAGATATTCTCGACTCCATTCTTTCCAAAAAACTACGAAAACAAACCATGAACTAGGTCTACCCAACTTCAAGAAACAATAGTCATATCTTGGTGAACCCACCGATAATATCACTAATTTTTTAAAAAAGAAATGCTTGAACGTGGCTTACAGAACAAATTATAATTTAAGCAATTTTTTTGAAAACAAAGTCTCTGATAGATCAGGAGTATATAAGTTGACTGACTTGTGTCGCGTACTCAAAACTTTATATTGGTCAAACGGGGAGAACTTTTTCCCAAAGGATTAAATACCATAGAAGTATTTTTTTGAATGGAGAGACCAATTCCACATGTGCAAACAATCTTTCAGCAGAAAGTTTGGAACTCAATCTTTTAGAATGTTTAGAAACAAATAGATTTAAGAATTCGAGTCATTTACTGAATGACCAAATAGATTTGTGAAAACTGACACGTAAGCTCAGGTAATTTCATTCATTATATGTTTCTTTTAATGACTTAGTACAGTTTCTCTTTTCTTCTTATGTCAATTGATTTATTCTCAAACTCAGGCACACATTTAAACATTAATTGGGTAGTTAAAACTCGGTACTTAGAATTCAAGTACTTCAAATTGTAAAAACATATAAAAAGCATTGAATATGTAGACTTTAGTTAGTATACACAAGCTTGAAGAAGCTATTGTTGAGCGAAATACGTGTTGCAGGCCTCAGTTTTGAAGATTACCTCTTCATCGGCACTAAATTTCTTTCCAGAGAACACGAAAAAGTCGCTGGAGGCCAGATCTGGAGAATATATGGTAAATGCGGAAGCAATTTGAAGCCCAATTAATGCAATTTTGCCATCGTTTTCTTTGATTGTGACACGTGCATAGTCTTGCTGAAACAGCACATTCTTTTTCTTCAAACAAGGCCGTTTTTCCGCGACTATTACATAGCGTTATTGGAGGGATAGCTCTAATAACGTTATTTTTTTTGTCACTTGTGAGCTCGTGTGGCACCCAGAGTTTTCTCATACCCAAATATTCATACACGATATTTCCAACACGTTACTTTGATATCTTTAGAACTTTATCTATCTACCTAAGCTATCTCGATCAACTTCACTTCGCGGTCATCAAAAAATTTTGTGGACTTTTCCACTGCGTACACAGTCCTCGGTGTTCATTTCACCTCGTTTAAACTTAGCAAACCCTCTTCAACGGTTGAATTTTCTGGTGCAAAGTCCGAACAATGTTTATCAAGACAAGCCTTGGCTTCAATAGCATTTTTTCCAAAAAATAATGCTTTATTAACACACAAAATTCCTTTTTTTTTCTCAAAATAGGCCCTAGTCCCAACGACTACCTCTTCATCGAAGCTAAATTCCTTCCCAGCAAGCATTCTCTTGATGCCAGAGAACACGAAAAAGTCGCTGGGGGCCAGATCTGGAGAATATATGGTAAATGCGGAAGCAATTTGAAGCCCAATTAATGCAATTTTGCCATCGTTTTCTTTGATTGTGACACGCGCATAGTCTTGCTGAAACAGCACATTCTTTTTCTTCAAACAAGGCCATTTTTCCGCGACTATTACATAGCGTTATTGGAGGGATAGCTCTAATAACGTTATTTTTTTGGTCACTTGTGAGCTCGTGCGGCACCCAGAGCTTTCTCATACCCAAATATTCATACACGATATTTCCAACACGTTCCTTTGATATCTTTAGAACCTTATCTATCTACGTAAGCTATCTCGATCAACTTCACTTTGCGGTCATCAAAAAATTATTTTGTGACTTTTCCACTGTGTACACCATCCTCGGTGTTCATTTCACCTCATTTAAACCTAGCAAACCCTCCTCAACGGTTGATTTTTCTGGTGCAAAGTCCAAATAATGTTTATCAAGCCAAGCCTTGCCTTCAACAGTATTTTTTTTTCGCTACAAAATAATGCTTTATTAACACACGAAATTCCTTTTTATCCATTTTCTTCAAACTAACAAAAGTTGCTTCACTCAAAATGTTCTATCCCACAAACTAATAGTCCAACAGCTGTGAAACTTCTATGTGTGTCTTTTGAAAGGTAGAGTTAACTAAACATTATATGAATTCAATACTAGTAGCGCCATCTGTTTGTTAGCCTACGAATGTTTCCAATTGTTGTGACTTCATTTTTCATCGCTGACCTGTTATATATTGTTCTGTGTGTTTTTTGTATTGTATTATCGACATTCAAATATTTGTATTTTCTGATCCGTGAATCAATAAAAATAAACGAATGATAAAATGAAATAGCTTTGACTCAGTTATCTCTGCCATGAAAGTTGTTTGGTGAATGATCTGCCGAAACACTGAAAACGCTGATCTATTCTCAACATGTGGAACTGTTTCTTAAAGCAGCCAGACTTGTTGAATTAATGTATTTCATGAGGCATAAACTCACCTAACACTTAGACATATAAACTGCTGAAACTTTCCATCTTTTCCCAGCGTTTTGCTGGTGTGTGTCATCTCGTCTATGAGATGGCAGTAGCACCTCCAAACCGCTACAGTCTCTTGATGATTCCTCTCCAAACTGGCCGTTCTATTGCCGGAAACTTCTTCCAACAATTCCAACTCGAACTGTTCCTTGACTCTCACTGAAAAACAAAGTATTTTACAAAATAAAAAAGGTTACAGACATAAACTATACCAAAATAATCCCACAAGTAATGCTTTCCCATGAAACGTCTCATGGACTTGAAACCTAGCAGAAAGACGTTTTCTAGACAAGAAACTAGACCATTGTCGCTGCACAAGAGCGCGGTTAGGGTTGTGTGTCTCTCGGATGATCTTCGATAGTGCCATTTCACTATTTTATTGACACAGTCTCCTGTAACGGAAAGCACAAAACTGTATTATTTATGGTTCAATGTTCGAATAGCTCTCTTACCTAGCATGTGCTGGATCTGAGACGGCTTCAGTTCAGGTCTTGGAAGTGGTGCTGGAGACCTCGATCTTGGCGTCGATCGACCCAAACTACCCCCTCCCTGCCCCACGGTGACTTCTTCGAGGATGTCGGCTTTCGAGAGTATTGTCCCAACGAGAAGTCTCTCAGTCGATCCGTCATCAACACCTTTGCCCAACCACCTGCCACAAGGAAACCTAGAAGAGAACATGATAATAGCGACAGAATAAATTCCAAAAAAATACGTACTTATATGTGTGACCCGTTATTTCATTGCGAACGATAACATGATCAATCATCCACTTGGCGTAGATTCCGGCTCCATCATGGCCGATCCTTAAGGTTGTCAAAACGCCCAAGTTTTGATGCTGTAAAACATTCAGCATTATTCAGATGTTTAATGCTATTATATTTCAAGCAGTTTTGGCTTAATTTTTTCAGCTAGGAATGAGACTATTATTGTATAATTAATTCTTGAATATGGTAACACTCTGATTACTTCTAATACTAAGTGGAAGTTTATTGAATTGGTTAAACTCTTTTGAAGGGTATAGAATTCATAGTACTTTGTTTATTGGTAGTTGATGTGAATACTGTTACAGGATGTTGTGTTATAGTGGTGAATATCGTGATTATAGACTACATAGTCTTGAAAATAAGCATGTTGTAGAGAGATAGTGGAGAATTTTGAATTTGGCAAGCACTGCTACAACCCTGTGCAACCTCAGCAAGGCTTTCGACGGTGTCTCTCACATTCTTCTTGAAAAGTTATCTTACTATGGCCTTAGATGAACTGGAATATCACTTAGTGAGTCATATCAGCGCTACCAATGGTGATGATATCTCCGATATTTTCGGACAATAAAGTATATTTTGATTTGATTTGATAATGATGTGTCACACTTGGTACTTTATTTGACCATTTTACATACTGTAGTATATTTATGGCAAGTACAAATAGTTAGAAAGATAAAATCATCTACTAGAAAAAAAGTAGAGTATAGGTCATTTAAAAGTATAATATAATCAATAAACCAAGTATTCAATGAGGTCTTTCACAAGTTAAATACCCAGCCATGTCATTATATCCCTCGATGTTATTAAAAAACAGTGTTGGAGAAGAAACTTTTTCAATAGTAGATTCAAATTTTACAAGGCTTAGTGACGCAGAGATAAGTGGAGATGAATATAAAAATGTAAGTTTATAGTTAATTTGTCTTACTAATTGTTAATTTATGTCTGGGCAGATTTAATAAACTTGAGGTTCTCGTTCTATATGCATGAATATCACAAAGTCTGTTAAATTTATGAACGTTTTCGAAAATCTACAGTAAAACTTTACAGACTTAATATGTTGGAATTGGCATAATGCCCAGTTGAATAGAAAAAAAGACAGTGTTCTTTGTAACCTGCTTTGGCTATTATTTTAATGGCTTTGTTCTGAAATAATTCATAGTAAGCTCCATAGTATACCGACTCAGTCTATTTGAATTTTAAGCGTAATGGTCGACAAGGGGGGGGGGAGGAAGTATGATTGTTGAAGATATGATAAAAGTATGTTCCCCTTGAATTGAAAATCGACTTTTTTTGCATTTTTTATCAACAATTGAGTCTTCTATAGATGAGTTTCTATCAAAGTAATTCAAGCACTGAATTATGTTTTTGAGAGTATAGTTTGAATTGTGATTTGATTATAATCACTGAATTTGATTTTTTAATTGTCGTTTTCATGTTTTATATTTCTGCATTTTACTTCGTAGACTTTGTAAATAAGAACATCTTAAGACATAGTATATGCTTGTTTATCATTATATCATGATTTTTCTATTTAGTTAGGTATACCTTCCATTATGTCAATGTCCTGCGATTTTTTATGACAATAAAACATCAATATTATTATTATTCCACTCACCAGTGCTGATATACGTGCTGGTGAAGCAGAAATAGTCAACAGCGTTCAGAGAGAGCAGGTGGTACAGGAACTGGTCTCGTTCCTCTTCGGATCGCAGGAAAGCGAAACGTTTGTACTGGGCGCGTAGAGTGGTCTGGTCGGAGAGAAGGGTGCGGAAGTGTTTAGATAACTGCTTCTTTTCCAAGGCGAGTCTCACCCACGCTCTCGCCATCCCTATCGCTGTCTTAACGTCCGACATGGCTTGGACATTCCTAACGAACATTCAAACATTGGAAACATTCAATTCACTAAAGACAAGTGAATATGATTCACTTTACTTTTTGTCTANTCTTTTTCTTTTTTAAAGATTCATAACTTTTTTGGGCGTACTTCTAGCACATTTTTCAGTAAAAAAATCGATTCCTCTATCATATCTACGTAAATAAGCTACCCTTGTTACTAGTTGCTGTAAGCAACCGTTTTCTAAATATTTGGACTTGGAATATCCGGACATTTATTTTTATGGACAATTCATATTAGAATATTGTGAGGAATCACCTCCTGAAGTTTGTCAAAGTACTTTTGAATCACCCTGTATATTATACTACTGAACTCGAAATGTGTGTTGCAGCAGAAATGACTGATTCAGAATATTAACTTATCCACTTTATAGTGTAATCATTTGTAGATCAATGGGTTTACACACAGTGCCCAAGCTATAATCATTAAGCAATGTATCAGTCTAAAAAACCCCATTGAAATCATACCTAAAATTGGAAATGATCAATTAAAACTCTGCTTTCTAAAAAGAAAAAAAAAACTACTTTGGTTCCACATACTCACGCTATATCAAACAGCAAAGATGTGGGCAGTTCGTTGAGCTCCGTCCTCAACCTCGAATCGACATTCCAGTTGTCGGTGTGAGGCATCAGTCTAGCTATGGCATCCGTCGATATATAATCGTCCTTCTTGTTCAGATGCTGGTACTTTTCTTGATAGGCGAGCAAATGCGACCACAATGCGGATTTGCCCCTCTTCTTCTGCAGGCCATGAGACCAAACTCTCTCGAGGTAATCGCAAAGGGAAGTCACTAGGGTGCTTTCTTCTACGGCACCGGAGGTGTCGTTTATGTTACCACTGCTCGAAAGAGTTACTCCCTCGGCTCCCAATTTTGCAAGGAGCATTCTTTTGGTTTTAGCTTTGCAGTCCTGAAAAATATTCGTATAGTATGTATAGTTTTAACTGAAAGCGTGCAAAATTCAAATTTCTAGAATCGAGCTACAGTACCAAAGTCAAAACTAGAATTTCTCACACACAGCGAGGATTTACTCACTTTGAGAAGTTTCTCAACGAACTTCCAATTGGCCTGCGCGATGAGCGCAGGTGAAGTGTCTTGGTTGTTGGTACTTTTGACGTTCCTATCGCTCGTCGGTCCTATGGGAGGTTTCGAGAAGGACAGTCCCTTCTTGAGAGCGCTGGCCCTTGGAATACTCCCTTTGTTCACTACCGGAGTTTTATTCAACACTTCCTTGTTCAGCAAGGGGAACTGTCGCGACACCGCGGCCCTGTTATTCATGATTTCTCTTGGAGAGGGAGATTCAAAGTCGGGATACGACAGTCGTCTGTCGATGAGTTTCTGTGTGTCGTAGGCGCTGGTGCACGGTTCGTAGCAGAGCGAACGCATCAGATTCTCTCCACCGTATCTTTTTCTGAGCAGCTTTATTCTGTTGTCGAATATCAGCAGGTTGCTGTCCACTTCCCCCCACGTGGACAGTATCTTGTTGTCGATGAGAGTGGCGAACATCTGCGACTCCAAGAAACGCCACAGAAACAGCCTGTCTTGTTCCGGCTGATCGGATAAAAAAGAAGCCTTGTCGAAATTCTGCATCGAGTCTCTATTGTTGAACCAGTCTTCTTTGTCCTGATTGGGGAATATCACGAAGTTCTCGTACGAGTGGAAAATATGTACAAATCTGTTTAAAAATATCTCCCGAATGGAGTTATTGAATCTCATATCCTCCACGTAGGAGTCCGTAGGTTGGTTTATTTCATTCGAATCTATAGCGACCCCTGTCCTTCGAACGATATCCACGATCCTCTGGAGTGCCTCGGTTCTAGCAGACCCAGGGGGCGAAGGGGGCCTTTCGTTATCCAGGGTGTCGTGGATCGATAGTTTTCGCCGATTCTGCGGTCGCCCCGGCAAAGTGCAGCTCCTCGAAACTATTTCCTAAACGAAAAAAAATTGAAACTCTCAATCAATCTTGTGAACGCCCTGTACAGTAATGTATGGGGAAAAAACTTGATGGCATGATAGGCTGACATTTTGATTGAAAAACTTCTATACTATGGAATCAGGGGCATTCCTCTTTCACTTATAGAATCCTACCTGAAAAATCGTCATCAAGCCGTATCTATTAATAATATTACATCAGATTTCAAACTAGTAAAACATGGTGTACCTCAAGGGTCCGTATTGGGTCCACTTTTGTTTATCATTTACGTGAATGATATTTCATCTTTCATGAACCCCTTCAAAACTGTTACCTTTGCAGTTTACCTTCATCTATTCACATAGAGTCATCAGAACTCTCTAAAGTATCTGAACAGGTAGAAGATAAAGCTACAACTTGGTTCCCAGTTAACCGTTTCAAGTTAAACTCAGAAAAAACTCAAAAATTATGTTTTTCTACTAGTAATACTTCATCAGGTATAAATGCAGTCAAATTATTGGGCATTACCTTAGATAGTACTCTCACCTGGTCTCACCATGTCAACCAACTAAAAAGTAAATTATGTAGAACTCTTTTTCTTTTACGACAACTTAAAGAAATTACCAGTTATGATATCCTTAAAATGACATATTTTTCACTTTTTCACTCGCATATAACCTATGGTGTTATACTTTGAGGTAACTCCACTAATGCCTATCTTTCAAACTTCAGATCACCCAATTCAGGCCAAAATAAGTTGGTAATCATCGACCTATAGTGCTCGCCATTGACGGTGATGGCCTGGCCAATGTTGTTCTCAAAGAAATAAGGACTGATGACGCCGGCAGCCCAAAATTCACACCAAACAGTGACTTTTTCGGAAGGCATTAAACGCTCATGAATCTCACGTGGACTGGTATCGTCCCAAATTCGACAATTTTGTTTGTTCATGTTCCCATTCATTCAGAAATGAACCTCATCGCATGAGCAATGCTCAGAAATTGTGGAATGACGTTAACAGCGAAAAGATTGGCTTAAAAGGGTCATAAATGGTGACGAATTATGGGTATATGGTTATGAAATCGAAATCAAAGTCTAATCATCCAGCCAATACAACAAAAAAACACGCCAAGTTTGATCAAATATCAAGGTTTTGCTCACTGTTTCCTTCTACTACCATGGCGTAGTGCATCAGGATTCTTGACACATGGTCGAAGGTCAATAAGGGGTATTATCTTGAAGTAATACGCCGCTTGCGAGAAGCAATACAAAGAAAACGTCCGATATTGTGGAAAAACAATTCATGACTTTTGCATCACGATAATACACCTGCTCACTCGCCATTGCTTGTTCGAAATTTTTTGGTCAAAAACAACACCGCAATCATGCCTCAGCCACCGTATTCACCAGATTTGGTTCCATGCGACTTTTTTCTGTTCCCAAGATTGAAGAGACCCTTGAAAGGATGGCATTTTGCGACGACTGAGGAAATTAAAACTGAGTAGCTGAGAGAGCTGAAGGACATACCAAAAAGTGCATATTAGAACTGCTTCGAGGATTGAAAAAAACGTTGGCACAAGTGTATTATAACTGAGGGGGACTACTTTGAAAGGGACACAATGGAAATTGAATAAGTAAATATTTTTTCTTTGTCTCAAGAAATTGTTGAAGCCTTTAAAAAAATATCAGCTTCAGAGTGGTGAAACTGTTAAAAAAATTGCTTTGGTTGCAAGTGTATTAATTTTAAAGAATATTTTGGAGAACAAAACCTGTTCCAGAACAATTTTTCCATTATATTATTTTTCTATTTAAAAAAAAAATCTTGTACATACCTGGGGACCTCTGACTTGTTCGGAATTTGGCACGTGGACGCTGTACTTATCCAGAGTTGACCAAATTTCAGCGGTAAATGGCTCCAGATGGGGGAAAGCTGCCATCTCCTCCGGTAACTGAATTTTACACCTGTCCAGGTCTACGAAACAGAGATTGGCCTCGGAAGCTACTTTGATATTATCCGATGAGGCATATAAACCTACAAGAAGTATAAAAATGAATTTATTTCTCTCTTTTCTTCTCCCCACCTATCTTTTCATCACAATTCTGTAAGTTTTCTACTCATGACGCTCCTATTTCTCAAGTTTTTGCTTTCTTCCCCCGCAGTTAAACAAGAATATAAAATAAAAGTATTCAAAAGATATAATCGATATTGTAGTAGATCTAGAACCATACTCTGTTGGAGAATATTTGGGAGAAGAGATATTCTTACAAAGTGAATAAGAATAAGACAAATGTTTTTTCAAAGCACTTAATTTTGATTCAATTGATTTGTTCTTCCTGAAGCCATATTGGTTATTACTAAAAAGATTATTTTGATCCATGTAATTCAGAATTCTGTTACTAACAACTTTTTCAAACAGTTTAGAGAGGGAACAAAGTAAAGATATCTGTCTGTAGTTGTCTACCTCAGTTTTCAAATGAAGCACAACAAAACCTACCCATCAAAAAAGGTACGGGGGCATCCAAAAAGTGATGCAGCGAAGCAGGCAAGATTGGCACATACACGTGGGGCCAACTGAATGGAAACAACAACGAAGTTATCCCTTCGGCAACGATCGTCAATCTTTGAGAATCTGAAAAAAGAACCAAAAACTACACTTTCAGTAATTTTCACGCAAGTACGATCCTGTAATATACATTTCAACTGAAATCTAGTAACCTGTGCTGCGAAGCAGGACCTGATATTCAAGCAAAAGACAAGTGAACAGTTGCACGACTTTATCGACGCCCAACCACAAGAACATGAGCCGCAACGAATAGTCCAGATGGGGCAACTCCGAGGGAGGCGACGTCATTTGTATTATGGCACTTGAAGGAGGTAGCATCGGATCTGAGGGAGGCAAGTGAACCAGAAGGCTTTTACCGGGGGCTGGTATTTGTACCTGAAACCAATATTCAAATAAGCATTAATACAACACGCTGAGGCTGATCAACACACCTCGTAGAGAATATTGAACACATAACTTTCGAGACTGAGTCCGTAGGGAGTAGAAGAACGTTTGGGAACGCATCTGAAAATTAGATGATAATGACAATATTTGTTTTGATGAGTCGGGCCAGTTTTTGAACAATGTTTGTCCACTGATCTAGATTCTGCATGAGACATTGAAACAAATATTCACCTAGTTTTTTCCTAAATAAAAATAATTTTTAACCTATAACTGTACCTGTATAAATTTTCCAAAAATGTTTTCGCTGCATGCACATAAGTTTGGCGACTGATCAGACCTATACTCTTAGAAACAAACAGCTTGTCTTTGGAAATGTCATAGTACATCAAGGCTGCTCCGTTTGGATTTTGACTCAATTTAAAATATCGAGGCAAGGATCTAGATTGAGGCCCCTGAGTTTGGCAATTTGGCAAGGGGCGACTTTTCAATCCACTTGATAATTCGGTTATGTACATAGCCTAAAATTCCACAAATATCAATAGGATTAATCATTCGATACATGGCTCACACGTCTCCAAAAAAACAGGGCCTCAGGTTTACTCTCAGAAATACGGCCATCCAAAATTTCAGGAATTCACTTCTGGCAATTGTTATTTAACATAGCCATATCTCTAGCAGTAGATCGGAACGCCACATTATTTTGACTTCAGATTCATGATAAGCAGAAAAAAAATCCAATAAATTTTTTTAAGTGTGAACCCTATATCTAAATGATTATCTAAATAAGTAAAACAATGAGACTGCCCCTACCTGTAACGTTTGCATGGCAGTACAAATATCTCTGTTCTTAACTTCTTCATAAAATACAAGACTGAATCCATAGCAGCGTTTACCATCCTCTCTGGTTATTACATATGAATGGAAACAAGGCGTTTGAGTCACTTGATGTTTCTGTGTGCGAAACTTGAGTCCAGCTGGCAAGGAAAACTACAAAAATTCATCATAGAGACAAAACAGTAACCTATAAACTTCCTCGCTCACCATGCACACGGCGGATTCATCAAATGGGTTGGATGGTTCGTTCTGTGGATAGTAGGCCAATACCTTGCCTTTGTAGGCTCTTTCCAAAGGAGAGGCATGAAGGTTGTCTTCTGAAATAACTTGTATGTTATAAATGAGAGTGTAATGGCCATTCTAGATTACCTGCGTATTTATCTGGCTCTAACCCAGAATTGTAGTCAAAGCCACAAATAACAAAATAATCGAATAATTTACTCATTGTAGGATTGCCTTTTATTTCACTGGTGTAAATATTGGTTGAATCTCAGAAATCGATATTTAGTTTATTACATAATTTTAACGGGAAGGTGCTGTTGGAATTAGATTCATTTGTTAACCACTTTCTAAATTATTTTGCTCTCAATCTTCCCTCTACCACTTCTACCATCTTGAAATTGACTGGACTTTGTTTTGTTTTTAATTTTGACGTTTATTTACGTCATACGATTCGATTTTTAATCAGAATAGGGCACGAGCGTGATGTCTCTTTAAAGATAACAAACCACAGAACTTGATAACACTCATCATTATCACTCCATAACTACTGATTTGCTGTCAATAAGGCCAAAGAGTCAATTGTTAGACAAGTTATTCAAAAAAGTAAAAAAATATAGGTTTTTTCTTTATAAATGGTTATACTTTATGCATTTTGGTATATGCATTGAGTATAAATTGAGTATTTTTTTATGATTTAATGATTTATTTTATTTACCTAGCTTAAATTATTATTTTTTGTATTGTTCCCATATTTCTTTGAGATTCCTTAGAATCATTCTTTTTATTACCGCCATCTTTTGGCCAGTTACCAAAATAATAATGAGACAATGATGAAAGTGTTAGAAGTAGGATTCTTTTTCGTTTTCTTAAAAAAAGTTTCATACTCTCATACATAGATGTCACAAGTAGATACTTTACGTCACATATCACAGTCCCTTTTCGCCTCCCCCTTCTCTTACAAGCATCGAATGTGGTTGAAGTTATTTCCTAAGGAGGGGAAAGGTCTAATTAAAATTGTTTAGTATGAGCTGTAGCTGTGCTAGATGCAGAAGCAAAATCCAGACATTACTTTTACTTCTACTTCGTGGCTTGATGAAGCTGTAGAGCAAAGAAACATAATTTCTGTATCATAAGATCTGACATGATAGATATGAAATTAGTTCAATACTGTCAGTACTCATGGTCTTTGTTGACATATAAACTTTAATAATGAGACAATGATGAAAGTGTTAGAAGTAGGATTCTTTTTCGTTTTCATAAAAAAAGTTCATACTCTCATACATAGATGTCACAAGTAGAAACTTTACGTCACATATCACAGTCCCTTTCCGCCTCCCCCTTCTCTTACAAGCATCGAATGTGGTTGAAGTTATTTCCTAAGGAGGGGAAAGGTCTAATTAAAACTGTATAGTATGAGATGTAGCTGTGCTAGATGCAGAAGCGAAATCCAGACATTACTTTTACTTCTACTTCGTGGCTTGATAAAGCTGTAGAGCGAAGAAACATAATTTCTGTATCATAAGATCTGACATGATAGATATGAAATTAGTTCAATACTGTCAGTACTCATGGTCTTTGTTGACATATAAACTTCACTTGAATTCTTGAATACCATATTTTCCCAAAAAGTTGAATAACTGGAAGTGAAAATGACTATAATAGTGTTTTTGATTGATACTTCGGCATCGATGTTGCAGAGGTACATTTTATTTAATAATCGGCAGTATCTACTACCCCGGCAGACGTGAACTTAATATTTTTGGACCAACCTAGGAGGTATTAGTTTTTCATTGAATAATTAGTGAATTTTCAGGACTTATATTGGAGGTCGAACGACTCTTCTTGATGTTGCAAAATCGGCTGTGGAAACGTTTGTCAAGATTCGACAGAGAAGCATCGAAAGCCGAATAGACCGATACATGCTTTTAACTTTTGAAGAATCTCCTACAAACATAAAAGCAGGTACACATCTATAAATACCTTCGAGTTCTGGTATCATGCAGATTTCAACATTTTTTTTAAGGTTGGAAGGAGAATTTAGCTACTTTCATGAATGAACTGAAAAACTTGCAATCCTACTCTTTGACAACAATGGGAGTTGCAGTAAAACAAGCATTTGACATACTGAACATAAATAGGATGACGTCGGGTATAGATACATACGGACAAGGAAGGTGTCCTTTTTTTTTAGAGACTGCAGTTATTGTCCTAATAACTGATGGAGGCAAATTGACCACAGGTTAGTATTATATTTGCATTTGACGAATGAAGAGATGAACTGTTGTCATTTTCAGTGAATGGAGTCCAAGAAGAGTTCAATTTGCCAATGAATTCACCAATACCAGGTTCTGAAATGACCAGAGAACCGTTCCGGTGGGATCAGAGATTATTTGCTCTAGTTTTGAGGTTATCAGGTAAGAATTCCTCTTCTGCTAAAATGAATGAAGTTTGTAAAAGGCATTTGACAGTGTGAATCATGAAATATTGCTGCAGAAGCTTCACTACTATGAAATGAGACGGAGGGAGTACAAATGGTACAAATAAATTAGAGAAAACTGTTCTCATAGAACTCTTCTAAACTATAATAGGGTCTACTATATTATAAATTTTTCACTAATTTCTGAAATTTACAGTTTTCCTCTAAAATTTAATTCGTCCAGGTAAATGATTAAACATTTTAAGATCATTATAATATAAGGAGTCTTTGACTAGAGTACAAGCTGGTATGGGTAATCTTAAGTCATTAGTTTTACGAAGGTCATAATTATTGTGATTTTCAGGTACACCGGCTGTTGAGCGAGACACTGGCTTGGTTCCCAGTGATAGCAGTCCTATCGATGCCATGTGTGAAGTCACAGGTGGTAGATCTTATTGCATCACTTCTCATCGCATGTTGAATCAGTGTATTGACAGTTTAGTCCAAAAGGTAAATTCAGTCTTGGAAGTAATTCCCAGCTTGTTTTCGTTAATTTTTTTGTATCAAACAGGTTCAGAATGGGGTTGTGATAAACTTTGAAAAAATCGGACCCGATCCTCCTCCTCCCCAATATGATAAAGAAGACGGTAAGGATGAACCGTGCAAAGAAGGAGATTTGACAGATTTGTCTGGTGACAGGGGGTCGAATATTCTTATGAATACTTCATGGCATAACTGCAGGAAGATGATTTACGTTCCAAAGGCCAGTAAGGCATATTGTGTGGGTAAGAAGCAAGATTGTAATATTAATTGATAGCTAACTTATTACTATTCTGTATTTCTTCAGGATATTGGCCAATTCCTGAATCGTTTTGGCCAGAAATTAACGTCACCGCTCTCCCCCCTAGATCGGCTCATCCGAATATCAAATTTGCTTGCACCAATGCAGAGCCCTTAGTCATAGAGAATCTCCCCTTCGACAAGTATGAGTTGGAGCCCTCGCCACTCACCCAATTCATTTTATCTAGGAAGCAACCGAAAACTTGCTGGCAGGTGAGGAAAAAGTCATCAAATGTTTCATATGGCTGGATGATGTTTGAAACCTGTATATATTTGAATTAAAAAATGTTTTAATTTCGCAGGTGTTTGTAGCTAATAGTTATAAAAATACTGAGGTTGGTCATCCGTTTGGTTACTTGAAAGCAAGTACAAATTTAACTTGCGTGAATCTTTTCGTTATGCCTTATAATTATCCGGTTCTATTACCGTTATTAGACGAATTGTTCAAGGTAGGTTGATATTTATTTACCGTTTTTTTAAAACGAAATGTTGATTTTTGTGTATTGTAACAAGGAAAAATGTGTGTCAAAATGTATTTTTCAATTTTCTATATTTGGTTACTTTTTTTAAATGATACTAATGTAAAAATCCAGGCATCAAAAGCGGTTTTTTTATTTTTTTTATGAACATATGAGTGCTCAAAAACACTTGAAATGTTGACAGTGGCATACGGTGATTGTTCTCTGAGCATATTGAATTTTGACCAAAAAAAAACATCCCATAAGCATTGCTCAGAAATTGTTGAATGACGTCAATGGCGATCCAATCATAACTGGTGACGAATCATGGGTATATGGTTATGTCATCGAAACTAAAGTCCAATTGCCCCAATGGAAGATCCCAGGAGAACCAAGACTGAAAAAGCACGTCAAGTTCGATCAGATTTTGAAGTTTTGCTCACTGTTTTCTTCGATTACCGTGGCGGTGTTCTTGCCACATGGTCGTATGGTCAATAAGGAGTATTATCTTGAAGTTATGCGCCGCTTGCGAGAAGTAATACTAAGAAAACGGTATGGTGCAAAAACAACTCATGGCTTTTGCATCACAATATTGCAACTACTCACTCATCACTGCTTGTTGGTGATTTTTTGGCCAAAAACAACACCGTAATCATGCCTCAGCCACCGAATACACCAGATTTGACCCCCTGCGACTTTTTCTTTTTCCCAGGATTGAAGATACTCGTGAAAGTACGTCTTTTTGTGATGATCGAGGAGATAAAAACCTAATCGCCGAGAGAGCTCAAAATAGAAATTGATGAATAAATAAGTATTTATTGAGAAAAATGAAAATTCACCTTATTTTTTTAACAGACCTCGTATATGAAGTACAAATACTTCATTTCACAACATCAAGTAACTTCTGTAATTTGTAGCAGATCAATAAAAAAAAAAATTATAAATAATGACAGCATACAGACAAATAAAAATTTACAGTTTGAAAATAAGTATGGAAACAAAAGAGATGAATGAAAATGAATATAATGTAGATTATATGACAAGGATCTCTTAGAAAAAGATCAATGGAATAAAGGAAGGGAATTATTTTTCATAACTCAGTATTTTCGGTTTCATTGTTTATTGATTTGAACCCAATTTCATGGAATTATTTTATTGAAGATTCTCGAAAAATGCTTTACCGACACACTCTTTCCTTTCAAACACATAAGATAACTTTGGTTTTCCAAGATCCACAGGTGGAAACCGACAAACGAATGGCGGACGCAATTTCAGAATTACATGAGGACTTTGCCAGCTTACTACGCAGGGCCTTTGAGAAGGGCTCTCACTAGAATGGGTACAACAGTTCGATTGATATAAATTAACAATCACACTGATTTTCTTTTTGTTTTTTAGGTACTCCTGTTGCTTTGGCTCAGACTCTAATTCCTGAGAACGCTGAAAACGGGCTCAGTTTTTCCATTTCAAACTACTTGAAGAGGCTGAAAAACCAAGCGAAGGTTGAATACGATAAAATGTGCAGTGAAATCATTCAGAGACAAACGAATGTAAGTGTGGCTGAATATTAAAATAATGGCTCACTATCTAATGAAGTACCTACTTTCAGATGAACGCTTTGAAAACAAACTTCAACAGCCCCGAACAAATAAGAGTGGTGCCCAAAGTAACGCCGAAGAAAGAGCTGATTAGTCATCCTTTGTTAACTGATAAGTTTATATCCCAGAAGGATCACATTATTGAACACCCGATTTCATGGACTTGCACTTTGGACAAAGAAAGACAAACCGTCAGTTTCAAGAATGCTTTTGATATACCTAGGAACAGGCTCATACAACAGGTGAGTAAAAATCGCAGGGGTCTAAATCTGACTTGGAGTACAATCACCGTATGCCACTGTTAATATTTCCAAGTGTTTTTTCAATTCCATGTTTTACACAAAATTTGATGCAAATTCTTTGATAATTTTTTTTTCAATAGCAGAAAATCGCTGAACACGCTAAACACTTCCAACTTTTATGTCTCTCACCAACAAACTAAACATGACAATCAGCTGAAACTGTGAACATACGTTCGAGACGAGTGTACCAACATAAAAAATCTCTACTCGAATGTACATAGTCCGTGAAATTTGATCATTCATATTATTTTTTTAACAGACCTCGTGTATCTGTTAACTGAACTTATTGATATTTCATTTGAAAAGGGGAATTTCTAAATGACATGAAAATAGCCAAAATTGTATCAGTTTTTAAAAGCGGAGATATAGAGGTTTTGAATAAGCAGCGATCAATATTTATAACAAAAATCATTTGACATCGACCACTCATGTGTGATTCAATAATTATTCAAATAATAGTAGTTTTTATGTATGAGAGATAAAAGAGGTTCATTAAAACGTGTAACATGTGTGGCGTTCCACAAGGTTCAGTTCTGGGACCTGTGTTATTTCTTATTTATATTAAATTTCCGAATTTGAGCTTGAGTGAAGAAATTCAACTGTTTCCAGGTGCCACAATACTAATTTATTCAGAAAAAAAACAAGAAATACTTCAAAGCATTGATAAAGATCTAAAAATAATATCATCATGGTTGAATAGTCACAAATTAACAATTAATATAGCAAAATCCTTGTTTATGTTTATAACAAAGGGGAAATTAAAAAATCGCCTGAGGAACTGATGACTATCTTCTTTCTTCAAATTAAGATGTATTATATGTTTTGTATTCAGAAGTTTCTCATTTCTTGTTATTATTTTGTTTATGTTACAAGCATTTATGTTTCTTGGGGTAAATAAATGATTGATGGATTGATTAATATCTAAACATTCCAAGATCCTCTGTCAGTACGATCTGAAACATGTATTGAAAGTAAATAACTCTGGCTCATATATAGTAAAAATTACTATATGTTATCGGATTTTTTTTTACAAATTTTGCAAAAATTTGTATTCAACGTAATACTCCGATTTTTCATTTTCCAACATCTTTTATATTTTATAGGTAGTGAGGATGAGGAACAACTTCTTGCAATCCGACTGGATCTCTTTGGATCAAGACAGTGCTCACTCATTGCCGATTTGCCAAATGGGCAACTACCAAGAGTATCTGAAAAAGCAAACACCACAGCTTCGAGAGATCGAGTCAGCACCGGTTAGACAACACATGTTTGGCAATCCATTCAAGATAGATAAAAGGATGATGGTAACATTAATATAAAGCTCTCTTTGGCCCAGCCATACATTACCATGCCTTATTTCATTCCAGGTGGACGAGGCCGATATAGATTTGGTTGGTTCACCAACAGGTAGCAGCAGAAATAACAAACGAGCGAATCCCTCCAGCGAGGTTATGATGAGGTTGCCCTCGAAAAGGAAACCGGGTCCGCTTCCTAAAAACTATAGGTTCAATCGTCCCAGCACTGATTCTTCTCTTCCTCCTAGCCCTCAGAGTTCACCACTTCCGTCCCCCATTCCTTGGTAAGTGACATTATTTTTCTTTGGTTTGGACAGTGATTTCTTTTTTCATGTATTCTGTGGCCATTTTTCAAGGCGTGTTGAGTGACATTACATTTTTCTGGTCTTTGAAATCGGATAGGGCTGCGTGTTCTTTGAAACGAGTTTCAATGGCTTGCTTAGTCTGACCAGTATAATGTTTGTCACAGTTCTCACAACCATTTTAGTGGGACTCTTCAATGACTTCAGGAATTATGCAATCTTTCAGACACTTATCTATTTTCTATGGTTATTTGTAATATGTGGTATATTTTGAAATATTTCAAAAGCATTCCTGACGATTCCAGAGAAACCTTCATCAGTCTAGATAGGAATTAAACAAAATGTTGAGAATTACTTGGAAATCATGAGTAATTGTTTCCACTTCTGCATATTCAGACCACTTTTTTTTAATTTGTTTGTTCTGCTTAACATTTCCAACAAAAATTCTGTGAACTGGGATATATAACTCCTGCACTTATTTTCAGGTTGAATTCCATTGAAAAGGATCTCCCCCGCTTCGAAGAACCGCCCATCTTGATCAACGGCTTGGAAAGCCCCTCCGCCTATGGTTATTTGTAATATGTGGTATATTTTGAAATATTTCAAAACCATTCCAGACGATTCCAGAGAAACCTTCATCAGTCTAGATAGGAATTAAACAAAATGTTGAGAATTACTTGGAAATCATGAGTAATTGTTTCCACTTCTGCATATTCAGACCACTTTTTTTTAATTTGTTTGTTCTGCTTAACATTTCCAACAAAAATTCTGTGAACTGGGATATATAACTCCTGCACTTATTTTCAGGTTGAATTCCATTGAAAAGGATCTCCCCCGCTTCGAAGAACCCCCCATCTTGATCAACGGCTTGGAAAGCCCCTCCGCCAGCCCCATGTCGGAACGATCTAGATCTCCATCTCCGCCCAACGTTCCGGAACCTCTCTCTTACGGTATCAACGAAGTCAACTTCAACGTCCGCGCTATTCCGACTAGTTTCACTTACACCCCTCCTACTTCGGTCGATAATTTCATTCCGATCTATTCCAGCATTTCCGCCACAGACGATAAACAGATCTCGCAGATTCTAAAAGAGGCAAACTTAAATCATAACACTAATTCTGTGAATAGTTTCCTTCCAGAGACGAAGCACAAAGTAAGTGGTGTTGAAAACATCTTTAGCTGCAGAGGTAGATATTTTTTTTATTACATCCCTTGTTTTGTGCCTTCAGGTCGAGGTCGAGGAAGAAGAAGAAGAAGAGGAGAAGGGTAGAGAAGAGGAGGAAGAAGAAGACGAGAAGGAAATTGAGAAGCAGAACTTTGATATACGGAAAAAGTTGAACAGGCTAGTGCGCAAGCCCGGGAAGAATTTCAGTGAACTGTTGGAGAGCATAAAAACGTTCAGAGGCGACAACAATGTCCAAGCAAGGATGGTCAAGTTAATCATAAGGGAGTCGATGAGGTTCAAACGGTATAATTTGGCCTCCATGTTGGAGGATCACATGCGGACTTTAATGAGTATCGAAAATAAATAAAAAGAGTTTGTTCCGATTTTGTGGAAATTCGGAAAGATATTAATTTCTTGGTCCCATTTGTAAAATATTTTTGATTATATAATTTTTGATGATTTTTTTTAGTTTAATAAAGATTTATTATAATAGAAAGCTTCAGAGAGCACAATACAATGTTTTGATGAAATCTAATATATTTGGAGATTGAGTTTCAGACACCTGGACCGGCAGACCTAGTGAAAGCAGAGTCTTCCCAGAAAACGTTAATACTATGAAAATGGATTGAAAGTTTATTGTCCTTCTGTATGAACAAAGATACACTAACGGTTCAGATCGTATTTTCATAAAGTTGAATGTAAAAGTAGCATCCAAAACTTCTTGCTCACTTCAACAAATGTTAGGCTCCCCTGAAGACAAGATATGGGAAAATGAAAACTCGTACATATGTGAAATAAGCAGAGAGGGCTGTGACAAAAAGTATATGGGTCAGACTAAGCTAGCCATTGAAACTAGTTTCAAAGAACAAACAACACATATCGGATTCTGAAGATCAGAAAAATCCAGTGTCAATCAATATGCCTTGGAAAATGGCCACAAAATAAATGAAAACTGTCTGAAATTGTTCGAATCGGTTGGCACAAAATTTTTAGATGCTTTCGAAAGTCTGGAAGTAGCAGTTTGGCACGAGAACTATGAACATACTCCATACTAATAGCACATTGCCTTACCTTTTTATGAATCATTCTGTTAAAAGTTTTGCGGTAACTTTCACCAGAAAATTTTCCGCAAATTTCTATCTGAAATCATTAATGTGTGTCGGAAAGTGTACCCTGTTAGAAATTAGTTTTCTTCATCTCCTGAAGATGCCAACTGGGTTGGTGAAACGTGCGTCGATAAGAGTATTGCATTTTTGGTGAATGAGAGAAGTGCTTGTTTTGGATTTACGAGGTCTGTTGAAAAAATTTGGTGAATGTTCAAAATTCGCAGGCTACGTACCTTCGATTAGGGATTTTTTTTTATGTTGGTGCACTCATTTTTCGAACAAACCTCGTATTCTATGCAAAAGGTTCCAGTTTTACCTTTTATTACATAAATCATATTCTTGATTTCAATAATAATCTCTTTATTTACTCAGATTGATTTGTATAATCAAAGGAGCAGAAGTACAAATGAAAGAGGAAAACGTCAATGTACAATATTGAAAATAAATAAAACTATACGAAATAGATAGTGTCACAAAGTTATAAAATAAAAAGTGTAAATTCTACAAAAAGGATTTGAAGCTTTATATCTTCTATTAATTATTGTTGAAATCAGTGGACGGACAAATAGAATGTTCAGTTTTCAAAAGCATAAGGACCCTGGTGAATATCAATCACATCTATCACCAACTAATTTCCGTTATAAAAATAGTTGTCGTTTGACAGCTCACCAAAGCAATGGAAAAAAATTCACCAGAGCTCCTAGGCATCTTGATATGATTCAATAATAAATACAAGATACATTAAAACCTTGGTACGGCCTCTAGAAACAAAAAATTAGCTAACGATTTGAGATTGTTTTTTCAAATAAATTTACAGTGTGGACTGTAACGAAATGTGTCGTACCATGGTTAGTATGCATCTTAAGTATGTGCAGAAGACAGTTCCCAGGAAATACAGACGCCCAACCAGGTAACGATTATGAAATATAAGGGAAGACAGAAAGTTCAAGATATATTAATGACAACTGTTGAGTGTCATTCTCAAATCAACCAATAAAACACAATTACAACTTTTAGGTTACTATCACAGTAGAATAGCGCATTGCATATTAGTTATTGTTTGCTTTGAAAAAGAAGCTGTGAAAATGCTATAAATTAGCTGTCATGTGTTCCCACCTGATTTCGGGCATGTGGATTTCCTGGGCCGTATCCTAGAATCTATTTTTCCCGACTAGTGCGTCATTATCGTTCAACATCTGAAGGTCCTGAAATTGTAGAAACTTCTCCTGGTCTCGAATGTGAGCGTAGTTTGCAGCCAGGCACATCAGGTAATGTATCTAGAGGAAACAATAAAAAATGTCATTGATTGTAACTAATGTTGGATACGGTCGCTATCAAGTTTATTACGAAGTATCAAATAAAATGTCAAAATTGTCTTATTCATCTTTCAAAAGCGTATAAAAATAACACTGCGAAGGAATTACTGACATTTGTAGTAACAACAGAGGTTCACCAACCATACAACGGAAATGTCCCCTTTTTCTCAAATGAAATACTGTTTATTTGTATTACTTACCAAACTTAATATGACAAGTATCGATGCTACTGATGCCAGTATGAACATACTTTCGACTTTTTCAACGTAATCTTTGCAAAAGGCTTTTACGTTGCTTTCACCAGATACTTTCATGTGGTCCGTTTCGGTCCCCTCAGGAAACAGAAAATCTGAAATGAAAAATGGACAAAGGTTTTTCAAGTATTAAACTCAGTACAGAAAAATAATATTTCCAATAAAGCCACCATTTGAAGTTGAAGAAAAAATTAGTATGATTTGTTGGCTAGTTTTTGTTTTAATTTTGAACAATTCAAAAAAAATTTCACATATAGTCAGTGGGCATACTATAAGGCTCTGTAAGAGGATTGTACAATCCATTGTTCAATAAATGCTATCATTATTATAATGAGAGAAGTTGAGATATTACACCTTCCGTTAATATACCTAAGAGATGAATTTGGTTCTAAAAGTAGAAAAATAAAAAATAAGGAAACAGTTTTTCAATTATAAAATACTTACAGAACTGTGTGAGATCAATATCATCTTGTAGGGATGCAACCCTTGGATTTTCACACATTTTCCAAAATATTGTGAAAACAAAAGTCACAATGACCAAAATGCAGAATTTTATAATCCAAATTATTTGTAGGACATATGTGATGCACATGAACTAAAAAAAAAACACATGATGAAACAAAAAAAAATACAAAGGTGCTAAAGGACCACAAAGTATTTTAATTTTGCAACTGACAGTTCAAACTCTCACTTACATATATTTGTCAGTTTAAACTGGCATTAACCTATAATTAAATTGTTGATTATTAGGCGCCATAATCAATAATTGTTAATGATGATAATAACGATAATACGTACAGTAGCAATTCAACTGAATTTGATGAAAGGTCCCTATTTTAGAGAACTAGAATAATCTTTTTTCAGATCGAGAATATCAGTTTTTGAAATATTCACCAATAACTAGAATGGTCCAATTTCGTTTCTTGGCTCTATAAAAAAGGTAGATAAACTTTCANAGCCGTTTTAAATACATTTGGAAAACAACCTACAAAAAATGACTGATTCATCAAAAACAATAGTGGCTCGATTATAAGGTCTACAATTTTTTTCACAGTAACTATTGAGATACCATCAGTACCTGCGGAGTTTTTATTTGCCATTGTTTCCAGAGTACCTAGAATTTCTGTCTTTGTGAATGGGGATGTATCGAAGGGATACTGACTAACAGTATTCTTCGAATAGGTATAGGGAAGTAATACGGACCTATATTGTAATATGTCGCTGAAGTTATTATTACAGTGGCTACAAAAATAGTTGAAAAAAATATCATATGGTAGTTTATTGTACTCTTAAGAGCTCCCTATGAAATAGTGAGTTCATGTTCCTTGTAAGGTAAGGTTAAACATATTCCGGAGAGGTGCATACCATTTTCAGGTGAAAACACCTCACCCTTGCCTCAAATGTGTTAATTGATCAACACCTATACTAGGAATGAACATTTCAAATTTCAGCATTGACTTGCGTTTATATCAAGATTAAGTTGAGATCTCCAACCAATATACATTTCCAACGTTCTGTAAAGATATATCCAGCCCAGTTTTCATAATAATCGATACAGACAGCCAACTAATACATCTACATTATGAAACCTTGCTTTCAAAATTAAACACCTATAAGTGACTATTCAAACTGTCAATTTGAAAAATAATCTACGATCCTTCAGCGCCTTCCTTGTAATAACTAATTGAAATAAACTTGAATTTGTTTTCACCACATTATTCTTTTCTACTAACCGTTGCACAACTCAGTCTGCCTGTCACTCTAGACCCCCATCCTCTGTACACTTTGTGTCTCGTTGCTCCAGTAGCCAGGAATCCTACCATTAGAATCATTAGACCTAGGGCACCCATGCAAGCACCAATCAGAACAAACGCCATCTTTACTGCTTCGACCCTGAAATGTATCCGAAGACATTAAGTTACTCTAAACAGGTTTAATTGGATTTTACCAGAACACCTGCATCCCAAAGACTTCGCTGAACATCAGAACGGATAACGTTGCTCCTCTGTACATGGTGCTGCAATATATCACTACGCCTAAGGCACACATTATTGTCGCGATCAAAGTGGCATAAGGTATTCGGGTGAGGCACTTTTCGCAGCAAGCTAGAATTATTAAAGGTTTAGAATTGCTTCAATTATAAGTTATATACCATACTGCGATCATCATCTTCTAATACTGTTTGCAAAGAATAGATGCTCTCTACTGATCTGGATAATTCGTAGTCTAAATTGGTTTCAAGTGGCTTTAATGCCATATGATCGTTCCTATTGTAATTTCTTTGCATTTTTGTTGAAATATTTTAGGTTAAAACAACATACACAGGTGAAAATATATGACTAATATAAACCCTTTATTGAGTTAATCAGACTTATCTCTGATGTTTTGAAACCACACCTACTGATGAAATGATAATATACCAATACACTTTTTAATTATTTTAAACTACTCACCCATATTGAAGGTATTTTATTAACTTATCACGATAATCGTTATTTGAGCTACCAAGCGAAAGTTCTTTATAAACGATAAAAGAACTGTTATCTTGTGGAATACATGTTCACTCAATATTGGTGAATGTATACGAATAATAAATAATTGAAATTAAAAGTAATCAACAAAGAATTGTGCAGTTATTGGTCTAGGGAATTTAATTTCTTCAGTACTTTGTGGTAATATTCTTCACAGTTGCAACATCGTTGTACCAGGCATCCTCAAAATATTTATTGCCAACATTCAATTATATCAGGCACGATTAATATTTTTTATATTTGATTGAAATTGAAGCAAGTTGCATTAAATTAATATTTCATTCAACCTGTATTATACCATTTGTAAAACTAACGAAATTAGAATACAATTTAAGGTATATATTTTTGGGAGAGATTAAGTTTTGGGAAAAAAACACGTGTCTATGGTTTGCCAGTTTCTTGAGTGCAGTGTCGGATTATTTACTTGTGTATCTACATCAAGACACTCAATAACCTTCATATTTGTATTATTTCGTGAACTCGGATGTCACGCAGGTAGCTATATAGCTGCCTACGTGGTGATTTTGATTGTTTTCTAATATTTATATATGACATACTCCAGGTTCAGGTGAAAAACACCTTACCCCCTGCCTCTCATGTAGACCTACGACTTTGTAGGTACGTGTGGCACGTACTTTGTAGGTACGACGGAAAAACAACAGCTAACCCAGCTAATGCCGCGCAGAGAGTTGAAGCAAAACCATCAGGCACCTGTGCAACATCTTCCATTTGAAAAAGTTGTCTCAAGTTACTTCCCACTACGAAAAGCAGAAATTAATTTCATTTGGTCGGTACCACCAACCGATAGACCGGTTTCGAGGTACTTGCCCATAATCAGTACCAGGCAGGTCACTTCAGACGGAGTGAACCGTCTGAGTATCTCGTACAAACAAAACTAATTCCAACCAGTCATAAACTTCAATCTGCAGTTGATGCAGTAGGATGTCCACTGCGCCTCTAGCAGACAAAGCTAGGAAACAACTTCACAAACATGTACTCCTGGGTGGGAGTCAGAATAGTAATTATATTTGGGAGAGGTGCAGTAAAAAAGGTAATGCTATTTTTTATTTAAAAATGAAACACCGCCGTCACTCAGGTCAATTCAAACCGCGTACTAGTGAACAGTCCATTGGGACAGCAGTAAAAATGGCTGAGAAAAAAATGACGTCTTAGTATAATTCAGTGTTCATATACCTAAAAGTAGTTGTTTCGAAAGTATTTTTCTTTCCTGTAATTCAATGTAATTCACACTTAAAAAACATTTATCATCATTATGAGACATATATTATTTAGAAGTGATTATAAATCAAATCTTTGAGATTAATTGTTAATCAATGATACAAATTTACATATATTTTGTCCGACGTTGATATTTTGTTCGGTTCAAATAATATGAATTAATATACTATAAAATTAAATCCATGTGAGTTCAGTTTTAACATGTCAATTCAAATACACTCACAAATCTCTTTTCCAAATTCACAGACGTGACACTGTGAAATAAAAAAATCTAGACCAACTGTATACCTGTTTACGAATGACATTACAGCTATCCAGTAAGTTTTGAGAACTTCAAATATCTATTTGCAGAATAATACAATATGTAGGTACTAGCTTACTTACCTAGCAGGTAGTTTCTTGCAGTGAAATGCAGTGACCCGTTACTTGATGAAAATCAATAAAACTATCCATGGTAATAAAATTAAACAATTTTTATTGACATTTTTTATTTCTTCGAGGAAGCTACGGTGCTAGCGAAACGCGTGTAGAAATAAAAAGTTTGTGAAAATTGTTCAATTATTATCATGGGTAGTAAACAGGGATTCGACATATTCACATATAAACCATTTCAAATGAAAACCATATGCATTCACACATAAAAAAATAAAAGGTGATGAAACATTCAAAATATCTCATTTTTTTTTATAATCTGTTCGTGGTTTATTAATCTTACTTTGAGCTAACACATCGATCACTCTGTAGAAATTATATCTCAAACAGGTTTAGTTAAACGGTAACAAATTCGAATTGTATTATTATTTTCCATACAAACTCATTCAAGTTTCAACACTTTTTATTTTTTGATAAATTCATTCTTTATTTCCAACCTCTAGGAGACAATGGTATATCTATTCATATTTGAGTTAAAATTTTGTATATAAAAAACCTTTTTCCTAAAGTCGATATACCTACCCTACATATGCCTCATCCTTTGGCAACTGAGAGATTATAAACGGCAAAATATACCTACCTACAGCTTGTGTTTAAACATAGCTGGTTGAACGGAGATACAAAAAACTCATCAAAGTGACATAATATTCCTGAACATCAAACAAAACTTGAATCTGGCGTGTACGAATCGAACATCATATAAAAAAGCAGCTGTAAGAATATTACCAGCAAGGCAGGTAGGATAAAGACGGGCTTCGCAGGATTCCCGTAGTCCAGGTGTAATTGAATTCGAGTGCGCGTGCGCAACTCTTGGATTCTCGGAACAAAACTACTTGTTGCCCTTCGTTGACTAGTCAGTTTGTCTCGCTCTCGAATTAGTGCATTTAGCTACAGGAGTTCTGCGGCAACGTGTTGAGAGTTAATATTTATCGTGTGAAGTGACAATAACAATATGGATCTAACCTGCAATGAAAATTTCTCGAACAGTTGCACTGCCGAAAGGGACGCAGCAATCTTCGATGATTCGCGTGTTATGAATAACTTGCTCAATGACGAAGTATTTTCTATACCTAGTTGTGATTATTTTCAAACGGTCCAGAACGACATTCAGCCGTTTATGAGAAAAGTTGTGACGACTTGGATGCTGGAGGTAAGAAAAAAGAGATTGTTTTGGTTCACAACTATAAATACGCGCATGCTAGTTAGACAGTTATACGTTTTTTTGTGCAAAATTGTTTTCAAAACAATAACAGAACAGAAAATAACAATCATCGACCTTATGTCACAGTTCCTTTAATTTTGCTACAGGGTTTGAAATTTTAGAGAATTTAATTGATTGCAACATTTGAGATGTTTTTATTATAGTAAAGTGAATATGGAAGGTTCGAAATTAATATAAAAAGTATGTTTGTTGACATTATTGCAATGGAATGAGATGTGCTTTAGCATAGTTTAACAATAACATTTCTATTTTCTGGGATTTTAGATTGATGTCCCTACATATTTAACATATTCTATAAATATTTCACATACAAAGTTTTCATATGAATTAACGCGGTCTTATTCTTTAAACTGCGATTCTTAGTACGAATAATTGACATTATTTTTATCAATACTTTCAAACACGTCCTATCAACATATGTGAGAATCTGAACACGTTTTTTGTGTTTTGATTTCGATGTATTATCGACAGGTTTGTGAAGAACAAATGTGCGAAGACCAAGTCCTTCCGTTGGCGGTCAACATCATGGACAGATTCCTCTGCGTGTGCGTTATCAAGAAGCAACAGCTGCAACTTCTTGGAGCTACCTGCTTGTTGTTTGTAAAGGTGACCTAGTGAATAAACGCTTGTGTTTTTAAATAGTTTATTTAGTGAAAAAGAAGGCTGAAAAGTTCGCCTTTTCTGAACTTTGAAGGGCCGTAACTTTTTAAATAATGGAGAGCGCTGCTTTTTTCTTTCGGATTCGTAAACTACGCATCAAAATACGTAAGTACAGTCAAACATTTTTTCCAAATCGCCGGGTGTCCAGATAACGAAAATTTACCTTTATCTGATAACACTGAAAAATATTCGGGGTTTCGGTCTGGTAAATATGGAGGCTATACCCTTTTCATGCATTTCCATTGGCATGCATTTCCATTTGGAGGACATTCATTTCACCACTGTTCTTTTGAGTACAAAGCAAAGCGACAATACACAACACGTTCTTGACTCACACACAGAAGCTTTTATGGCCTCAAATGAGGTCATCTTGAGAACTTTTCTCTTGATGAATGTATACAGAGAATAGACAATACCATTTTTTTAATTTTTATTTCGATAAATACGTGATGATAACAATAAATTTGAGTAATATCAAAAATATATAAGCATTAGGTATGGCTATTTTGAAGACCATTCCTTTTCAAATTCAGAGTTAGTAAACCTATGGCCATTAGGTCAGGTGACTTCGGAAGTTATTTCTTCCAAGGAAAGCCCGATGACAATACACCTTAGGTACTTGCCTTAGACAGAAGCATTATGAGTTTTCGTCTGATCATCTTGGGGGCTATTTATCTTTCACATTTTCTTTTGATGAATGCATAGGTTCTAGGCCATTATATTGAAAAATATGTCAGCCTTAGGTCTGGTGAACGAAGAGATATACTTTTTAGATTCCGGATGAATACACACAACTCTATAGGTATCAAGCCTGGAATTTTTGGAGGTGGTACCTTTTTTGATTCGTGTTTGATAAACAACAAACAAATCTATGGACTTTGTGTCAGGTGACTCAGGAGGCCATTTTCAATGGATCTTCTAGTAATTTATTTGTTCTAATGTAAACGTCAGTATTGTTGTAGGTGCTACTCATATCGTACCTTATCGCAGCCGGCGATAAGATTCTTTTGTGCTAACCCAGTGCCCTGGAACTTGAATTAAAAGTAATTTGCGTCGACCTAATCTCGAAGAAGGCTATCGGATTATTAAGTATATCATCTTACCTGCGTTCGCACAGGATGTAAGGTGGGTGGTCACCCCTTCGTCGGGAGATAGTGAACCAATTTGCGGTGTGCCCCTATCAATTTTTCGAGGAAAACGACAATCAAAGTAATGTCGCGACCCGGGGCACGCGGGCCGGGTCGAAAGATCTCAAGATAGAGTCGGAACGAAAGATTATTTAGATTTCCGGACGTGTAGCTTTATTGTTGTCGCGCGGCAGTCTTGATAAATTTGTTACATCCTTCCGTTCGTGACGTCAGGCAAATTGAGTTGGTGGGGATTGATTTGTGAGAAAATAATAGCAGGATATTGCGGTGAAAACCGTATATACCCGAATGTTTTGTGGATAGTTCATTCTGATCAATTGTCAAAGTTTGGAAAACCCTATACAAGAAGTAACAGTCTGAATTGAAGTTGCATAAAACCCCAATTTTGTTTGTAAAGTTTTCGGTTGGGATTTTTCACGATATTGTCGTAAAATATTGAAATTACGCTGATGTATGAACTTAGGGGACTTATACTATTGTAATACCCTCGAGGAAATGCATGAAATGCAAATGATGAAGTTGTGAACCGTGAAAAAATTATCAAATACCTCCGAACACATATAGTTTCGTATGCAGCCGGTCTTTTGTACTCGGATGCCGATAATTTAAGGACTAGTTCCTCAGACGTATCCTTTAGGGGAGGCGCATCGTGTAAGAAGGACCTCAGTTCCTGTGGCACATCCTTCCTATCTGCATTCGTCGATGAATCCTTTGTCCTCATTTGATATGTATATCGAAGGGAAGACGAGCTGTCTGTGGATTCTGTTCCGGTTTTTTGACCCTTTTCGCCTGCCTTCCCCTTGGCCCGTATCGGAATCGGATTTTCACAAAAGGGATTCTCACAGTTGGGGTGCGTTGCGTAGGTCCATGGGAAATTTGACTAAAAATCGTTTTGCCGATTCAACCACCTGCTTTCGAGTTCTCACACTTTCCGAGGAAAACGTGAATTGAATGATTCAGCGCCAGGAGGAGGATTCTTTTTCACAATGAATATCGCTCGTTAAGAAGCGGGGTTTTCTAATATACGGGTCGACTGTTTCTGAATTGGTATTAATTTTAATGGCTTATTTTGGAGATGGTTGTGGGGCCGTTAATTTGATGTATTGGTTTATTTTCGAGCAGGAGAGATTTATGAGAATTTTGGTCCGCGCGTCATAACATTACGAATCAGCTGATGCATGATTATATCAGATCCTACAATCGTTTATTCTTCCGGTATGAATATGTTTTGTTTTCAGACCACTATATATTTCTTCCCAATAAATTCAATATGTAATGACGCATTATCAGAAATTTTGGTACATGTCAATTTTCATAACTCTTTAGGAAATCTTCTTTTCGACGTTTAAGTATTTGCGAAAATATCGAAGAGCGTCTTTGCTGAGAGAAAAAATGCAGAAACTGATACATTTTTAATTCATAACCACATACCGAATGTTTACTTCTTTATTTTTATGAAATAGTGAGTAGCACTAAGAAACTTTCATATTTCATATTCATTCCGGGAATTCTCTGCCGTTCATTATAATAATTTGGTGTCCCTTTATATAAAAGGAAATACGACGATAAAAATTAGTGTAACTCTTTAGCAGAATAGCCCCACAGAAGCAGTACAGTTTCAAATTCGAATTTATGATCTACTGGACTTAGTTCTATTCGTAGTACATAGTTATTATTGATCTATGAGGTATCTACGGAATTAGAAGAGTTGCCCTTGAATGGTGTAATTCCTACCTGTCAGGTCGAAGTAACACTCGTATAGAAAAAATAGCAATACTCTCTGAAGAAGCGAACGGCTGGCGTACCTCCAGGCTCAATACTGGGCCCACTCTTCTTCTTGGTGTATATCAATGATCTGCTGAATGTCAAAATATCTGGATATTTTACAGTGCATGTCGATGACACCACCATAATGTGGCCTAGTTCTAGTTTACTGTCCTTAAATGAAATAATTCTTAATGAGGTCAACGTAATCTACACTAGGAGAAGAGTCAGTTGAGAACAAACGTCATACAAAATTCCTGGGTTTGCACATTGATAGCAGACTGAATTTCGATAATCAAATTGAGGCTCTCAAAAACAAACCAGCATCTGAACGAACGAACGAACGAACTAGGACCGTCCAAGGCAAACTTGGTTTAACATTCAATAATCGAATCTTACCTGCGTTATATGCAATTGCCTTCTGGGGGGTTAGAAGCAACCACATACAGGGCATTTTATTTCAACAAAATCAAAAAATACGGTACATGTATTAAACAAAAAAATCGAGATTCTTATCGACCATCATTTATTATGGCAGCAGTAGCATTATTTATATTGGAAACTGCATGTCTGACATTAACACATAAACCCATTAACAGCCATCCAAACGAATTATAGTACCTACTTGGAGGACACAAAATATCAGATTAGGTACCTATTCTAACCTCAAATCTTGTCAAATACTCTCTTATTTACAATGGTTATAAAATATTAAACTTTCTACCACTGAAAAAGAGGGAAATTTAAAGCTCAGCCATTCAATTCCAATACTAAAGTTATATTGTGTTAGTGTAATTATCTTGGTCTGATGTAGCATTCGATATGATTTAGGTACCATCATTCATTATTTTTTTACTAATTCATGTTTTGTCATACGTCTCCTTTTGAATTACTCCGGTTTATCTACTGACTGTTATGTATGTAGTAGAAAAACTACAAATATCACTCATATTCTCATTGGTGAAAACCACCTTTGTCATTGTGCTTTGTTCTCGAGCGCTATTCTAATTCACTGCCTCTACAGATTCTTTCGAAATTGACATTCAAGTCTGCAAAACGTCTAGACCTTATGTAGGTTAGTGATTTCACTTATCTTTGTCGTCTTTTTCACTGCATTGAACTAGCGTACGATTTTACACTTCAGCAGCGAATTATATAATACAGTAGTATCCCAGAGCGGAGTCTTTGTCGGAAGAAATTATTTTCGATGAGTCCTAGGTTCTCGAGGTGTTTGAAAGAAATGATTTTTGTTCTTGGTTGAGATAGAGAATTGATAATGGCAAGGCTTTGTCAAGATTTTTGACGATGTTAGAGACATTTTGAATTTTTTGAATGAGTAAGCGAAGTGTTTCCTAAATACGTTCGGCTAACTGAAGATTTTTCAATACTTCAAATTTGTGACACTGAATCACAAGAGGCAGCCATTGATAGAATATAAATACACCCAGAAAAATACTAGTGGGGGAACAAAATTGTGGAAACGGCTGTCATAAAGAGATGAAAAAAAAGCCATGAAGCTTCAGTGATTTCTGGAGACTTGGAGGGATTTGAGACGTTTTGCAAGCAGCCAAAAACCAGTACAATAACTTTTTTAAACACGTTTATAGAAATTTTTCCTAAAAACTTCTGCAGCAATGTAAATCAAGGGTAGGCAACAGCGCTGATGTTTTGTTGATAAACGAAAGCTTTCGACTGTGTAAATCACATAATACTGCTGGAAAAGCTCTTGAGAGGCGTTTACAAAATGTGTAAAGCTATTGTGCTCCAACTGAATTGGATATGCAAACAGGAGTAGGTGACCCAAAGCCCTATTTTGAGGCCATTACTATTTTTAGCGATGGAGATCTCCACATAAATATTTTTCGTGGCCCTCCTCAGATAAAAAATTGTGTTCATGCAAATCCATTGTTTTTTCAAGTGGGAAAAAACAAAAACAAGGATTTTACTTTTCTAGAAGAAGATATCTGATTTGATGCTGGAAAAAGGCGCCATTCATAACAAAAATTCTACAGAATTTTTGGGCGGATACATAGACCAAGACCTTAAGTTTGAGAACCATGTAAGAGCACTGGACATGAAATTATCATTGGATTGTTTGGATTATCAAAACAGTTGTTCAACTTAGTCTTTCCCAGTTCGTTGTTAATAAACGATAAAACCACCATTCCTCCACAGCTTCAATATCTGGAGTAATTCTGCCTGTAAGTGTATTTGCAAAAACTGCGAAAACTGTAAATTTTCCAGAAAAGTCAAAATTTGATCGTTAATGTAAAACCGAGAGTAGGTTCAAATATAGAACCCTGCGGAACATCACAACTAAAGTTATTTCAGATTTTCTCAACTTCACATCTCAGTTTTAGTTTAATTATGTTTGTCGACGAAATATTTCCTTTTTCTCAGAATCATAGTGTCTCTGTCGTATTTTTTTGGTCGATAATTCGGCTAAACGTCGTCCAATTAGTGAAGAAGGTTCTGCAAGACGGATCCCTTTCCAACGATATCCTAGGATGGCACTTTCAACGGGCCGTATCCCTTCGACTACCGTAAAATTAGTGCCGCTCGAGTGAATCCCCGACCGCACCGCCGTTTTTCTTCTTCCCGGACTCGAAACAGATGCCGGGACGTCTTACCGCCAAAAGAAACGGACTGACCATCTTGAGCACCCACCGTTGCCATCACGAATTATCAATTACCCGGCTACTAATTATCTGTCACCTAATAACTATAATCCCTGGAATAATCATCGATCGACCACAGGAATGTATCGGCGTATAATTTTCTACTGGTAATCGACATTTCCCACGATCATAAAACTGCTTTGCATCGACGACCCATGGCAAGGCGATAAAAATGCTGGTGTGGCCCACTTATCGGTTTAAAGACGAAATTTAGTCGTATTCAGGGAATGTTTCACCTTGGGACCTGATTGTTACTAATATAGAAATAACCAGAGTTAAGACACCTTTCAGAAATGTACGCAATATTATTATCGTTACATCCATTATTATTACGATTTTGAGGTTAGAACATAAAATCTACTTCAGTTGGGTATCATATCTTACGGTGAGAAATTACTTTCGAAGGAGTCGTTGTCTAAAAATTCCATCGAAGACGACGCAGTTTTTAGAGACAAAATCAATTGATATTTGTATACGATGTAAAGTTTATCATTGAAATCGTCACCTAAAGTAAGATTATGTCTCCAACAAATTGATTTGATAAATTGAGTGTATGCAATTGTGAAACAAATCAGTTTTGTTACAACAGCATATTGTTATAATGGGTTTTTGATATTAAATTACGAGGAAATGCATAAATCATTTGCATACACATACATTTATACACAATATTTTATGTACTTCCAGTAAAATCATCTCTGATGAAGTGTTAACACATGCATTTGTTGATTGATTTACCATTTATTCGTTAGTCGTTACTTTTTGAATTTACTAGTCATTACGAAGAGTATATTGATATTTTTATAAAATATTATTGCAGTAGAGAGATGTAAAACAAATAAATGTTTATTACAGTTCTTAATGACAGTCATCGATGTTTTCCTTGATTTTGACGTTCAAATTATAACACCAGATGTCGCTCCTTGAATAACCTGAATAATTGAAATCTAACGTTCAATACTTCAACCATTTCAATTAACTTGTAACTTAAAGTATCCAAAACTGTATTTTATTCCATTTTTTCCCTAACACTCTCAAGCTTCAAAATTTGATCAGGAAAGGTGGAATGTTTATGTTTTGATAGAAAGGTTTCTTCAAATTTTTATAAAATTGAAGAACACAGTGATTCATAAAAAGAAACAACTCGTTTCAATTATTAATATGGAACATTGCTGTCAAGGAAAGCAAACAGTCTCAAGGTTCAACCTTGGGGCCTGTATTCTTCATAGTATATGATAATAACAATTTCCATTACCTAATACTCATTAGGTTCAACTTGCTCGCAGAGGAACTCTGACGTTTAAACTCATAAACAATCAAGACGCAAAAAGTTCTCGCCACCACAATTATATCACTGTGAATCAACCTGGGCGTTTTTTAATTCAGAGATTCAGCACGTAGCTATGAATATTTCCTTCTACAGCGAGCTCCCGCGGAAAGAGACTGGAGGATAGATAGTTTAGTACGTTCTTTTGGGTAAAGTCACATGAGTCATATAATTTGTAGCAGAAAATAGTTTTGTGAATGGATCGCTTTAAATTTAGGCTATTGACCTATGACGTCGATGCCTAAAGACCAATTAAATGCCAGAGATGGTCCAATTATGGCATTTTTTAATACCGGCTCCTACATTCAATTTTTCAGGATACTGAAACATTCCGATTGGAAGTTTCAAAATGTCCAACCGGTACGTAGATCAGCAAAACTGTTATTCAATAATATTTTCAGTTATAAATCATTTCTGTATGAACAACCGGTCATCCCCTGCAGTACGATGTCCACATAGAGGCCAGTTCTTGTAAAACTACACAATCACCAACGAAATTTCCTCCCTTTCGCCAAATTCCCTACCAATATTTTGGTTTCTATTATTCCAGGAGAATCATTTTCATATTAATATGGTAATTTATGTTTTCTTTGCGCCAGACACGGCGAGCTGTTACAGTTACGTCTAGAAGGCCTTTTGACCCTCAAGAGAATCCCCAAACACAAAAGTATCTATGAATACGTAATTTGCGAAAGAGCGCCTAGAAGAGGGGTCAATTAATTTCGCCTTGTAAGCTAGACTAGGCCGTGCACTTGGCGCGACTTTTTCTTCCCACAGACTCGTTTCTGGAGCATTGTCGAGAGTCCTGCATTGTCTCTTCACCCTTTTTCGCTGCACCCTTGAGACTCTTGTCGCGGATTATGATGGCATTCTGATACTGTATCGGTCGTCTATAACTGGACGCCATAAAATTTGTCACAGCAGCGAGGAACTGACCGCTTTGCGGTTGTTGTTTATTAGGGGGTCGGTTCGAGATTCGTGACACGACGTCATTAAGGGATGAGGAGGTTACTCCTTTCCCATCATTAGCGTTATCTTGTCAAGTAATTACCTATGGGAATTCCGGGACAAGTATCGATCTGCTCGTTAGTCGGCGGTAGGTGCAATTTGAAATTTGGCACCTGATGGTGGGATGATTCAGTTGCGAAACATCTGTCTCAAACTACTTGATCTTTATTTTAAGGAATACATATAATTTCAGTGGTTATCGAATACTTATAGAAACTGGTCCAGATGTATGAACAATGAAATTAAAGGGTATTTCACTCATTCGGGATATTCCTCACAAAAATGTATATGAACCAACTAATCAAAAATAATTCCAGGGAAACAGGTACTTAAAAGGTTGAAATTTGTAACAATGGCCTAGAGAAAATCTTGCGAAGTTGACATTTTGAAAAGAGGCTATTAATGAGGTCTTATTTTTGTCATGAACACGGGTTCGGTAGACTCAGTTGTAGTTCCCGGATTTATTTCAATTACTGGATACCTAGTAGTATACCAAGTTGGTCCCTTCTATTACTTTTTTATTTATATTTCATTCTTTTTCTTTTATTTTTAGAACTGGGAACTCTTGGTTCTCTCGAAACTCGATTGGAATGCCTCCGCTGTGACCGGATTCGATTACATTGACCAAGTCATAGAGAGGTTTCCGTGGGGCGCTGAGAACGGTTTGCTTAGAAGCCACGCACGGACCTTGGTATCGATCTGCTATACAGGTAAGTCTTTCATAGCAAGGTTTAGCGAACATTTTTTTATCAGAATGCATATTGCTTTTGAAAACATTTCAAGATCCGAAAAAGAGAAATTGAGAATGTCACCCCAGAACCACCCCATGTCGTATTGGAATAACAAAGTACGCGGTCTGTCGATGGGGTTGGATTCAGGTGGCTGATTCAAAGGGTGGTCCTGAATAATTTTCGAATATGTTGAATCAAACGGCACCTCAAGAGGCATCGAGCTGGGGTTTCCAATTAGAGTGAACACGTTCGCTATCGTTCGAATGGTTAAGTGAAATAAAATATGAATTTTCAACATTCAGCAGTAAAAAAACTGTTATCAATATATATCATATCATAAAATCAGGAAACGGAAAACTGTTTTTGGCACTTTTGTTTAATTTCATTTGGTATCTATTAGTAGTATTTCACTTAGTATAACTGAAATAATTCTTAATTGAAGGTCATCACAAGAAAATCTGCAAATAGAAATTAAGATCCTATTAAATATAACAACAAAAGTACACACATCGGAAAAGTCTGGGGATATTTTAAAAAATGGCAATATTTTTTTTTAGATCGCTTTAGGGAAAAAAACGTTGACGGGTGATTATTAAACGAATGTAACTTACAACAAAATTTATTAAATGGTCAAAAATACTGAGTGCGC